GCCTGTTCTTTTCCTGGAGAGATGGAGATTCAGATCTGCACCCAGGACTGCACTCATCCCCCTCTGCAGAGCTCTGGATCACTTTATTTCTCTGTACCTGTTGCTGAAGGTAATATGCTCAATAATCCTGGTTTTACACAACCTCGGAGAGAGACAAACCTGGTACTCAGCATTGTGTTCGTGATTCCTTGTGCCCTGCTACCAGCACTGCACTGCTGCAGCTCCTGCATGGCACAGGGAGCGTTCCCAGCAGAAATTCCCAGCCCACCCCACCCGGGTGGCACCTGAGTGTGTGCTGAAACCAGCAGCAAGGAGAGACTCCCCTGGACGGCAAAAATATTTCACTGCGGTTTTCCCCGTCTTTGCCAAGGCTTAGCAAACGCTGATTTAATGAAGCATTTCAAGGCCACGGAGCCCACAAAACCCCAGGGTTAACCTGCAGCAGCAGGGTGAGGAGGGCACCAGTGCAGAGCCTGGCAGCTCAGAGCTGGGCTGCGTGCAGGGTGCCAGGAATGCAGCGCACAGCACGCAGCATCCCAAACTCTGCACCAATTCCCTGCTGCACCACAGTCCATTTATAGCAACATGCTCATGCATTTTGGTGCATTTCACTTTGCTCTAGGAGAACGAGGGTGCTACCGGGAAGGATTTTGGGTTTAGGCTTTATCAGTGAGCCTAATCTTAACAGGACATGGAGATAAGAGCAGAGGGGCAGCGCCTCAGCTTCGCCTTCCCATTGAGCTGTCAGATGCTCAGAGAAAACCTCTGGCTGTCCACAGCTGCATTTGTGCTCGGAGTGCAGCAGCCTGGGCTGATCAGCCCTGCTGTGCTGCAGCACTGGTCAGGAAACTGATAGAACTGATAGAACTGATAAAACTGATAAAATTGATAAAATTGATAGAACTGATGTAACTGATAAAATTGATACAACTGATAGAACTGATAAAACTGATAAAATGGATAAAACTGATAAAATTGATAAAACTGATAAAACTGATAGAACTGATAAAACTGATAAAACTGATAGAACTGATAGAACTGATATAACTGATAAAATTGATACAACTGATAAAACTGATAAAATTGATAGAACTGATAAAACTGATAGAACTGACATAACTGATAAAACTGATAAAATTGATAGATCTGATAGAACTGATAGAACTGATAAAATTGATAGAACTGATAGAACTGATATAACTGATAAAATTGATACAACTGATAAAACTGATAAAATTGATAGAACTGATAAAACTGATAGAACTGACATAACTGATAAAACTGATAAAATTGATAGATCTGATAGAACTGATAGAACTGATAAAATTGATAGAACTGATAGAACTGATATAACTGATAAAATTGATACAACTGATAAAACTGATAAAATTGATAGAACTGATAGAACTGATAGAACTGATAAAACTGATAGAACTGACATAACTGATAAAACTGATAAAATTGATAGATCTGATAGAACTGATAGAACTGATAGAACTGATAAAACTGATAAAACTGATAACTGCCATCCCAGTGCCCGTTGGGAGCCCCAAGGCTCAGTGTGCCATCCCTCATCAGTCAATATTTATCTAGGACACAGGAACCATCAAACCCCAATCAAGTACATTTGGGGAGGCTTCACTTAACGATGACAGCACTTCCTACTGCCTGTCTTGTGTCTCCCTCATGTCACAAGCCAAGAGAAGCAATTTCTGTCAAAAGCTGTCAGTGCCAGCCAGGCAGCAGCACCAGGTACCCACCCTGGGCTTCTTTCTGAAGTAAATGAACCAACAAGGATGGATTTTCTTAACACCACAGGCAGAGAGGAGGCAGCCCCTGACCCGAGAGCTGCCTCTGCTCCTTGAGCAGGCAGATTTCAGCCCATCTCTGCACATTTCCGTCTGCAGCAGTGGGAATCAGCCGTTGCTTTGTGGTTGTTTCTCCTCAGCTGGGACAGGCACAAGCCACTCTTTTGGTTTGTGCAGCAGGAGCCCCCAGGAGGCACAGGGATGTCTTTGGTCAGCAAAGCTGCCTGGTGTGCTCTGCCCCCTTGCACAAGAGGAACCTCACGTTTCCCCATTCTCCAAGGAAGAAACAGCATTTTTAGCCCAGAACCTCCATTTCCACCCTCATTTAGTCCAAGGCTGAGGGAGAGGCAGGAGGCAGCTTGTCCCAGTGCAGGAGCACTGGGAAGGTGCCAGCACTCAGTCTGTAATCTGCTGATCCAGCCGAGGAGAGCATCACTTCCCCAGAGCAGGAGGCAGATGCAGGCACAGCTTACTGGATTGATCACTTCTGGTGGGCTCAAGCAGAGCACCGGGTGAAGATGGGCTCTCCTCCTCCCCACCCCAGCTCCTTTCCCCCTGCCCTGCTTCCAAGGAGTTTCCAGCTGCTCCTGGCTGCTGCAGGGTGCCAGAGGGCACCCCCAGTGCAGCAGGGCTGTCACCTGTCCCGCAGCCAGGGCTCTGCCGGGCCACCAAGCCCTGCCTTGGTGCCAGGAGTGGCTGGGGAAGCAGCAGAGAGGGGCTGGCAGGAGGTGCCATCCTCGCTGCCCAGCCCAGCCCAGCCCAGTGGCATTCCCTGGGCAAGGCTTTTGTCATTTCAAAGCCACAGTCTGGAGAGGAAAGCCACCAAACAACAGAAACAAAAGCTGCTAAGAGGCAGCTTTACCCTGATGCTCTCTCACCTTGGAGTGTCGCAGCTGTGCTTTGGTGCTGAGCTCTTCAAGAGCCGAGCTGGCCAGGCAGAAGCCCAGAGCAGGGGTCTGGGGAGTGCTGCTGCTGTGTGGGTCAGCTTTCCAACCTCCAAAGAGAGTTTGGATGGACAGAAGTGGCATTGCTTAACACCAAACGGGCTGAAGTATTTAAATCTAAACGTCCTGAACGGGGCTGGAGGCTGAGCACACCTGAGCACAGAGCAGGATCTGTTCAGCAGGTGAGCCCTCCACCTGCCCCAGCAGCCACAACAAAGCCCCTCTTTCTTATTCTGCCCCCCACCAGCTCAGGAGCCGCTGCCACATTTCTGCAGCCTGCTTTTCGGGAAGCCACAGACAGTGATTTTATTTCCTAAGAGCCCCAGCTGCTGTCCAGCTGTTCTTTTTTGCTTCACAGCAGAAGTTAAGAGCCGTACCCAAAGCCATGTGAACCTGACAGCCCAGAACTCCTCTCCTGGGAGCTCATCCCCCAGCACAGCCCCTGCCCAGCTCCAGCAGCTCTGCAGCAGCACGCAGGGCTCCCAGGACACCAGAGAACCCAGGAATTAAAGCATCCCAGAAACGACTGTCGTTTACAGCCACACCTGCAGTTCTCTGGCACTAAACCCCTTTGCAGAGGCTGGTCAGTCTGGCAGGTAACAGGCAAGTTTCCTCACCAAAACCTTGCCCTGCTGAAGCTCACTGTGCCTGCTCAGAGCAGTGCAGATTTCCACTGCAATGACAAAACACAGCCTCTGGTCACTTAAGTTAGTTATTATTATAGAAGAGCTGGAAGGTGGGAGTAGTAGCAGTCATTTAATGTCTTCTGTTGAGAGACCATGTGTTCAGCTAGTTATATCATGCCAAACTTTAAATATTGAGGCTGAAACTGTAGGGGTGGGTTTGCTTTATGCAGTCATTTCTTTGGAAAGTTGGAAAAAAAAAAATAGTGCAGCTATTTCTGAGCTGAAGGTCAGATTATAAAATAGGTTTTTTGACCATGTTAAAAATATCTCAGCTGTTTCATTAAGGAGCTGTAACATCTCATAATTTGGGGCAAGTAAGATTTTGTGAGGATGATGGTTTGGATCAGAATGTGCTTTTGTCAAAGCTTTTTCAGACCTCCTGAGCTGTGTGTGCCTTTAAGGGAAAAAGGTTCGGTGTGACAGATGAGACATGTGATGGCAATAAAGGCATAAAAGGCAGCTAGCAAGGAAAGGGACATTAAGGAGACAGATGTTCTACAAGCAAATAAAAAGCTCTATAGGAAAAAGAGCTGTTCTGGGTGGTGTTTAAAGATGGTGTTTCAGGGGAGAGAGCATTAAGCTGGAGAGGACAGCTTATCAACTCAGAGCCTCTATAAACCCGGGGCAGAGGCTGTGTTTTGGCATTGCGGTGGAAATCTGTTCCACAGCAAGGGGTTCTTTGTTTAGGAGCGGGGAAAACGAAGCACAAAAGTGAGTTTGCTGCAGAGGGGCTCTGCTGCCCCTCGGTGCTGCAGGCGCCCCTGAGCTCGGCTGGGCTTTGCGCTGCTCTGAGCAGGCAAAGTGAGCGTTCCTAGCGCCGGTGCTGGGCGGGGTCCGTGTCCCCCAGGGGGATTCTGTGTCCCTCGGGGGGCTCTGTGTCCCCGTGTCCCCTCGGGGGGTTCGGTGTCCCCAAAGCCACTCAGCCCTGCGGGTTTTCCCTCCCGCCCGAGCGCCGCCGCCGGGCGCGAGCCGCCGCCAACCACAGAGTCTGCGCGGGGCGGGCGCGGCGGGCGGGGCGCTGTGTCGGGCCCGCCGGCGCCGTGCGGTGAGCGGGGGGCGGCGGGGCCAGCGCCGGGTGCGGGGGCGGCGGGCGGGTCCCGCTCGGTGCCCGGGAGCTGTGACAGCGCGGGGCTCAGCCCTGCCTCAGGTGGGCTCATCTCTGTCACAGGTGGGCTCATCCCTGTCACCCATGGGCTCATGGCTGCCACAGGTGGGCTCATCCCTGTCACAGGTGGGCTCATGGCTGTCACAGGTGAGCTCATCCCTGTCACAGGTGGGCTCATGGGTGTCACAGGTGGGCTCATCCCTGTCTCAGGTGAGCTCATCCCTGTCTCAGGTGGGCTCATGGGTGCATCCCTGTCACAGGTGGGCTCATGGGTGTCACAGGTTGGCTCATCCCTGTCTCAGGTGAGCTCATCCCTGTCACAGGTGGGCTCATCCTTGCCACCCATGGGCTCATCCCTGTCACAGGTGGGCTCAGCCCTGTCACCCGTGGCTCATCCCTGCCCCCCATGGGCTCAGCCCTGTCACCCGTGGCTCAGCCCTGTCACAGGTGAGCTCATCCCTGCCACAGGTGAGCTCATCCCTGCCCCCCATGGGCTCATCCCTGTCACCCGTGGCTCATCCCCCCTGTTCCGTGCTCTGCCCACGCACTGGGCCAGGTTCCTCACGGTCCCCTGTCCTGCTTTTCCAGGGTTTTGGAAGCGGTGCTGTCACGATGCTGGGGCCAGAGCACACGGAGTGAGGCTGAGTCAGAGCCAGAAGGGCCAAACACGAATTCGTGCACCTCTCAGCTTGCTTTTAATGTGAGTCTCCTCATTAAGGCTCGGAGTTCTCCAGAAGCTGATGGTGAGGTCATTCCTGCCCTACTGTTTGCACGTACAGAACACCAGTAGGGTTTCCCCAGTCTTCAGAGAATCCCAGAGCTCTTTCCTTGTGTGCAGAGCCCTGTGGGATCCCCAGGCCGTGCTGCATTTTCCATAGAATCATAGAATATCCTCAGCTGGAAGGGTCCCACAAGGACCATCCAAGTCCAGCTCTTTTGCATTTTTTCCCTAGAAATGAACTGAGCTCCTGTGGACGGGAGCTGCAGTGGTTGTGCAGGGGAGTGCACAGCCTGGCTGCTGGGCTGAGCTCCTCTGTGTTTTATGTGGATCAGGACCAGGAGTCTTTTCCTGAAGCCTGACCGAGTAACTTTGTTCTGCCTGGCTGGGGGACTTTTGGAGTGTTATTTTTTAGTGGGAGCAGTAATGGTTAGCTGATATGAAAGCAGTAAACAAACACTGCTGGGTTTACTGAGCTTATTCCGTGCAGTGTAGCTCAATATTTTGCAATTGGGAGGGTTGTGAAACTGCCTGTCTGTTGGTTTGGGAACACACATGACTGTGGCTGAACCTGCCAGGAAGTTCCCTGGCTAATTCCCATTTTTCCATGGGTCTGGAGCAGCATGGCCCACCCAGAGCCATCCCATTCCTCGCTGTGCCTGCCCCAGCCAGCACAGCAGGGCTGCCAGGGTGTCAGTGCCTCTGGTTCCTGGGCAAAGGTTGCTCAGGAAGTGCCAGTACCCCTTTATTGCACTGAGGACCTTTGTCATCTGTGTCATAACCCCACAGCAGGGGAAGGGGAACCAGAGAATCATTTATTCTGCAGGCAGAACCTCAGCAGTGCCCCTTGGCAGCTGGCTGGCTTCCCTCAGTGGGTCCAGGGAGCTCAAAGAGCGAGGAGAGAAGGGAGGGAGGGCAGACAGCCACGGCACAGGGCTGGGCAGAGAGCAGTTAAACTTACAGACTGCATTTCAGCTGGGTGCAGCTGTCTGGGAGCAGGAATTGCCACCCTGCCTGTGTTTTACCTGCTCACAAACAGCAGCCAAAGGCTCCAGCACAGCCAGCAGGGCAGGACTGCGAGCACGGGTGTGCTGGGACCTTGCTGGCTCAGGCACTTTTGGTTTTTTCTCTGTTGTAATTTGCTCTTTCCTCCCGTTTTCCAGGAAGGGAACAGCCTGCCTTATCTGTCCTGCACACCTGAGCACTGATCAGAGACACCCAGTCACAGGAGGAGCAGGATCTGCACTGGGAGAGGCTGGGCAGGAGAAACATCTCCAGCTGCTTTTGTGGTCTCTAAAGCTACAGGTGAGTCTGCTGGAGAGAAACACAAAATTTCTGCAGACCAGTTCAAGCTGCAGACAGGGAGAGCTATCCAGATGTTGCTTGTAGTTATTTAGTTATCATTTATTGACCAGAGCTCAAAGTTTTTAAAGTAAAGAACATTGTGTGCTGTGAGGGCTCTGGTACAACTAAACACAGCTTATAAAATGACATTAAGGGAAGGAGATAGCCAGTGTGAGAGCTGCTGATATAATACCTGATGTAATGAGAGCAGCACAGTGGTTTAGTCACCCATGCAGGAGTGACTAAACCTCTCTTCAGTGACATTACATCTCTTGAGATGCAAAGTCATTGCTGTGTTTCTCAGTGTAAGTGCTAAATCTGTCTTTTCTCTTAAAAACAATTTAATTTTGAATAACTACGAGTGAGCAAAGGGACTTCTTGGCCTGGCTGCAGTGGTTTGAATGGGCACTGAGTGGAGAAGGGCAGAACAGGACCTGCTCTTCAGTGGTGGAGGCTGCAGGAGGCAGAGCACAAACCCCAGGCTGTCTCCTGGCCACAGACACAGCACCATGAGGCAGCATCTAGACTGGCTCACATCAATCTGAGGGCTGAACTTCTTCCCCAGAGCTGGTTTTTTATCACACCAGTCTCCCAGCAGCCATTAGAACCCAGTTCAGTGGTGGGGCACAGGAGCCAGCAAGTGAAAGAAGAGGAGCCTGGGGCTGCCAGTGCTCGTGTTTGTCCCTGAGCTGCTGTGACAATATTGACATGAAGCCATGCCAAGGCAGCCCAGCAGTCCCAAGCAGGATGTTGGAAGCAGGATTCAGTGTGCACGTGTGCTCAGGGTGCAGTGTGCTCCTCTGTGGCCAGCTCTGAGGTTTCCAACTGGTTTGGTTCCAGTTTGTTTCCCTGTGCAAAGGCACTGACACCCCCTCAGCTGTGGGAGCAGTGCTGCCCAAGGGCCTTCAGCACACACTGCCTTCCACTTCTGGTGTGCAGAAGGAGGCTGCAGGTTTGTCAGGAACCCAAATTACTGCCTTGATTCAGATCAAGGGGAGGAGAGGTTGTTGGGTGGAGAAGCCCCTGGCTCTTCTGGGGGAAGCAGGTACTTTGTGTTGTGTTCTGCAGTGCCACAGCATGGAATGATTAGTGTTTTTATTCCTGCCCTCTAGTGTTCCTGGCTGCCCCTCTTCTCCCCAGGATGCTGGGAAGGGTGCTGTGCACGCTGTTGTTCGTGGGAGCCCTGCCATCCGCAGCTGCAGCATCCCAGGGCCACATCTCCGTGGTCTTGCTGGGAGCCACGGGGGACCTGGCCAAGAAGTATTTGTGGCAGGGTCTATTCCAGCTCTACATGGACCAAGTGAGCAGTGGCCACAGCTTCACATTCCACGGGGCTGCCCTGGCAGCCCTGGAGCCGGGGCAGAGGCTGATGTTCGACGTGCTGAAGAAGCTGTCCTGCCCCCCGGACCAGGCTCCCAACCGGTGTGCCGTGCTCAAGGACCAGTTCCTGAAGCTGAGCCAGTACCACCAGCTGAAGACTGCCGAGAACTACACAGCCCTGAGCAGAGAGATCGAGAGCCTGCTTCGCCAGGAGGGGCTGCAGGAGGCTGGCAGGATCTTCTACTTCTCCGTGCCCCCATTTGCCTACACGGAGATCGCGGGGCACATCAACGGCAGCTGCCGGCCGCGCGCCGGGGCCTGGCTGCGCGTGGTGCTGGAGAAGCCCTTCGGCCACGACCTGCGCTCGGCCCAGCAGCTGGCTGCACAGCTGGCAGGCTTCTTCAGGGAGGAGGAGATGTACCGTGTGGACCATTACCTGGGCAAGCAGGTGAGCAGCCCCCAGCAGCCTGAGGGGCTCGGTGCCTGGGAGACTGCTGGTGGTTAGTTCTGTGTTTGGTGAGAGCGTTGTTCCCCTCCTGAATCCATGCTGAGCCTCTCTTTGTGATCCAGAGCCTCCATTTGCTCCTGGAATCCTGTTTCTCTGTCCTGGGAGGGCAGAGATGTGCAGACCAAAGCAGGGCTTCATGCTGTTGGGGTGGTGAGGGTCCCTTCTGCAGAGCAGGGCTGGGCTCCGTGCCTGGAGCAGAGGTGCAGAACTCCTCTGGCCTCCTCCCCAAGGTCAGGGCTTTGGTTTCGCTGGGTAAGCAGCACCTGTCCTCTCCCAGCTCCACATCTCATTCCACACAGGCCTCTCTGCTTAGCCATGGCTTCTGGAAGCACTCCTTCATTTGATATGATAAGGAGCTGATGGGATGTTAGTTCTGGGGGATGCTTAGGGAAGGTTTCTTCCTGCCCTGAAGGGCTGTCTGCTGCAGGTACAGCTCAGGATGTGGAGCTGCACTGTCCCACAGGGAGTGTGTTCAAGGACACGCCATCCTTGTTTCTCAGGAATGTGATGCCACACTTTAAAGCAGCCTGTTCCAGCCATGGCAGTGTGGCCAGGTTTTACTCAGAAGTTGCATGTCCAGCTCTGGAGAGCATCTCCACAGAGAGGGGGGATTTCTTCTGTTTTGTTTTAGGGGTTTGTCTCCCCAAAAGAGCAGATGGCTTTAGTGGTGTAAGCATCTGAAGTGATGTATTTCAGCACTTTGGAGCCTTACACGTCTGACTCAGCCCTTTGTCCTCTGACAGACTGAGTGCTCTGCAGTTTGTAGTTCAGCCTTTTCACATGAAACCTCAAAATGCCTCAGAAAGACCTTTAATGTCTGCTCTGAACAGCCCCTGGCGACCCTCCTGTGCACCACTGCAGGCTCTGCTGCTGCTTTTCTCCTCTCTGACCCACTCTGCTCTGCTGCGTGGGGCAGGGAGGCAGAGGCACCGTGGCAATCTGCCGAGTTTTTATTGGGTCTTGGAACTTTTCCCCTCACAGGCTGTGGCCCACATCCTGCCCTTTCGGGATCAGAACCGACAGTTTCTGGACCCAATTTGGAACCGACATCATGTGGAAAGAGTGGAGGTTGTCTTGAAGGAGACTGTGGATGCTAAAGGTTGGTGAGGCATGTGCAGGGTGGGTGAGGCTCCTCAGCAATGGGGAGGTGGCCCTTGAGGTGCTGCTGGTACAGAAATACAAAAGGAACAGGTGAATGGTGTGTTGCTCCCTGGAAACAGAGAGGGACTGTCCCACCCTTCCTGTGCTGGAGACTGACTCACTTCCAGGTAGAGTTGCTGCCTCTAAGAAAAGAATCCATTTGTAATTCATCTGGGAGAGGGGGCAGAATCCCCCGCTTTTTCTGCTGCAGAGCTCTGGGGGATTGCTGACCTTGCTATCCCAGGTCTTGGTCAACAGCCCTGGGTTTGGAATTGATGCAGTCTAAGGCCACTTCAGCTGTCCTGCTGTCCTGTCAGACCCCAGGCTCACCCGGGTGTGCCTTTGTGCTGTTCTTTGGGAGGTGTTTGTGCATCTCCTGCCGGGATGTTTCTGTCCCTGGGCCAGTCTGGGTTTGCCTGCCTGTTTGTGTCCCCTCCTCTCTGTGGTAGGAGCACTGCAGAGGGACAGTCCCAGCCCAGAGAGGCGGCGTGGGGCTCCTGCTGAAGGACACGGCTGCACTGCCTGCCTGCAATGCTGCAGCATCCCCTCTGCAGTGCTCAGCACAAAGCTCCTGGGCTGGGCTGCTGCCTGCAGCACTCCTGGCCACGGCAGGTGCCCTGGCTGCTGCACCAGCAGGACTGCTTCCCCTTACCTCTGCCTCCCCCCCTCAGCCACCACAGACTCAGTTAATGCAGTTTTGTCAAACTTGGGGTGGAATCTTTGGTTTGGCAGCCCAGAGCTCACCTGAGCCTGTTTGTGGGAGAGGGGTGTGCTGCAGAGAGGTTTAGGGAGAGCAGCGTTGTCTGTGCACAGCTCCAGCTACTCCCTGTGCCCTCCCCCTCACTGAACAACTTTGTCATTTGATGTCATTTGTCATTTGATGTCATTTGATGTCTGTTTTCCCCTGTGCAGCTTCAGCTGGCAGCCTGGCTCCCAGCAAGTCTGCAGCATTGATCCCATTACTGAATGTGCCTTTGGACTGGGGGGGAGAGAAATGATCAGTCAGTGGGGGGAGCCTGTGCTCGTGATGCAGCCTGCTGCTGGTGACACACAGCCTTGAGTCACTCCAGCAGTGCACTGTCCTTCTGCCACTGTTCCCACCTGCACGAGAAGCCAGGCAGGGAAAGGGAAGCGTGGCTCTGTGCACGAAATTTTGTCTCCCAAGGGTATGGCTCAGCCAGAGCCTTCTGAGGGCAGGAAAACCATCTCGTCCTGCTGCAAGCAGTGATAACTCCCACTAGGACAGGTTGCCCAAAGCCCTGTCCAACCAGACCCTGAACACAGCCAGTGCCAGGACACCCACAGCCTCGCTGAGCTTGATTGCTTCAGGTTAATTGCTGGGTGGGGAGGAGAGGAGCTTGGAGCTTTGCTGTGCCTGGCCCCACGCTGAGATGCAGGCAGGGGAGCCAGGTCACCTGAGCAGCACTTTTCCTCCTCGCCGTGCCCAGGCCGCACCAGCTTCTACGAGCGGTACGGGGTGATCCGGGACGTGCTGCAGAACCACCTCACCGAGGCCCTCATGTTCCTCATCATGGAGCTCCCTGCCAACGTCAGCAGCGCCCAGGAGGTGGTGCAGCACAAGCTGCAGGCCTTCCAGTCCCTGTGGGGGCTGCAGAGGAGCAGCGCCGTGCTGGGGCAGTACCAGGCCTACGACAGCCAGGTGCAGGAGGAGCTGCCCGAGGCGCGGGGCTACGTCAGCACCACACCAACCTTTGCAGGTGAGGCTTTGGGCTGGGCCCTGGCCAGGGGAGCAGGGAGAGCTGAGGAGAGCAGGAGCTGTGAGCGCTGCAGTACCAGCCCCATGGCCCTGGGGCTCGCTGCTGGCTCTGGGATGTGCCCAGGCAACCACTGACCTGGTAACTGGGAGCTGGACAAAATAGTGCTGTTGTTGTGTCAGTTAACCAGTGATCCAGGGAATGGGAAGTGTAAGGGCTAAGGCCTATTATTATAAAATCTCTGCAGTTTTTAGAAGTGGCCTGTAAACTCCTTTGCCTTCCCATAAACTTGAGTTGAGAGGTAAAGCTTTATTCTCTGTGATGAGTGAACCACAAAGCCATCTCCAGCCATGCTGTGAGCATGAAGAGAATTGTCTAAATGATGCTCATGCTCAGAAACTGATTTCCTGCCAGATGAAAGGAGGCTGAACAAGTGGGATAGCTGGGAGGGAGTGAGAATCATGGATGGCCTGGGTGGGAAGGGACCATGAAGATCATCAAGTTCTGGGTAGGCAGTGAAGTCATGGAAGGGCTGAATGTGGAGCTGGAGACACAGTGGCTACCAGAGGAGCTGAGGAGGTGGGCAGGTGCTGGAGATGCCCCCGGAGTGCCTGCTGCTCAGGTGTGGTGGGTGTCTGTCGTTGCAGGAGTGCTGATCCACAGCCACAGCCCGCGCTGGGAAGGGGTCCCGTTCCTGCTCACCTCCGGGAAGGCTCTGGATGAGCGGGTGGGCTATGCCCGCGTCCTCTTCAGGAGCAGGGCCTACTGCCCTCAGAGTGGCACTCTGAGGGATGCAGGGCTCAGCCAGTGTAAACCCAAGCAGATCATCTTCTACTTCGGGCACGGCGCTCTCAACACCCCTGCGGTGCTGGTGAGCAGGAACCTCTTCCAGCCTGCCATGCCCAAAGACAGCTGGAAAGAAGCGGGGGCTCGCTCAGACCTGCACGTCTTCGGACAGCCGCTGTCTGATTTCTACATGTACAGCCCTGTGAAGGAGAGGGATGCCTATTCCGTCCTCATCTCCCACATCTACCACGGCAGGAAGGATTTCTTCATCACCACGGAGAACCTGCTGGCCTCCTGGGCCTTCTGGACCCCTCTGCTGGACAGCACCTCCCGCCAGCCCCCGCGCCTCTACCCCGGGGGCGTGGAGAACCAGCAGCTGCTGGACTTTGAGATGGTGCCCGGGGGAGTGGCGTTCACCCTGCCAGAGCCAGCAGAGCTGCTGAACCCCAGCGGGCAGCTGCCAAGTGACTTCAGGGCCATCCAGTCCAAATTCCGGCAGAGCCCGCTGGTCTCGGCCTGGGCCGAGGAGCTGATCGCCCAGCTGGCCTCCGACATGGAGGAGGCGGCCGTGAGGAGCGTGGCTCGCTCGGGGCAGTTCCACCTGGCCCTGTCGGGCGGCTCCAGCCCTGTGGGGCTGTTCCAGAGGCTGGCCAGGCACCACTACAGCTTCCCCTGGCAGCACAGCCACGTGTGGCTGGTGGACGAGCGCTGCGTGCCCCTGACCGACGGCGAGTCCAACTTCCTGGGCCTGCACCGGCACCTCCTGCAGCACGTCAGGGTGCCCTACTTCAACATCCACCCCATGCCCGTGCACCTCAACCGGCGCCTCTGCGTGGAGGAGGACGGCGGCGCCGAGCTCTACGCCAAGGACATCGTGGCCCTGGTGGCCAACGCCAGCTTCGACCTGGTGCTGCTGGGCGTGGGCGCGGACGGGCACACGGCCTCGCTCTTCCCCCGCTCCGAAAGCGGCCTGGAAGGGGCTCCCACCGTGGTGCTGACCGAGAGCCCCGTCAAGCCTCACCAGAGGATGAGCCTCAGCCTGCCCCTCATCAACAGGGCCCGGCAGGTGTTCGTGCTGGTTCTGGGCAAGGGCAAGCACGACATCACCACGCTGCTCAGCAGGGTGGGCCGCGAGCCCCGCAAGTGGCCGATCTCAGGCGTCAGCCCCAGCTCTGGCCAGCTGGTCTGGTACGTGGATTACGAAGCTCTGCTGGGGTGACGCCTGGCAGCGTCCCTCCTGCCTCGTCCGCGTGGCCTGGGTTGTCCTGCACCGTGTCCTCGTTGCCAGCAGCAGCCTCACCCCTGACCCTCCCTTCGGGGACATGCCCGGCCTGCGGCAGCGCTGGGCTGGAGCCTGGGGGAGCCGGGCTCAGGGGGCAGAGCTCAGGAGGAGCCAGAGCCCAGTGCAGCCTCTCTGGCTCTGCTCCGGGCCCTCACTGCGACTTTGGACAAATTGCTTCACCTTGAAGTGCCTCAGTTCTCCTGTCAGGCCTTACTGGCATGTCACTACCTCACAGGCGCTTCGGGGGGCTTGTTAAATCAACTGCCTGCCAAATTCTTTCTAATTTTATGTAATTCTCAGGCTAAAAGACAACAGTACCGCATTCGTCCCTGCCCTGCTCAGCCTGGCTGGGCCAGAGTTGTTGTGTCAGGGCAGTGATGGTGGTGTGCACGTGGATGTGTAACCCTGGGTGTTTTGGGGCTCTGAAAATAAGGGGGGCAGGCTGAGGAGTGTGGCAGCTCACACAGCTGCTGTTTGCCAGCACTGCAATAATTACTGAGGGAAAGCTTGGTGCTCAGAGCAATTGTTGGGTTTAGCTAGCAGAGAAATCTTCTATTTTTAAGCAAAAAATGCCCGCGTTAACTTCATTCCAGTTCTTTTGTATTTGGTGTGAGGGAACAAGTTTTAATGAAAAAGTGACCTATGAGAGAGTAACTATATTGTTATGAATAACAGAGTTTATTCCTGTCTTACAGGTGACTGTGGCATTAGAGTTTTCTTATTTTTGCACACTCGCTTGGTAATATGTGGCTGGCAACTCTTGAAATGAACACTGAAAGGTTTATTTGCACTTTGAAATTAGCACATGGGTTTTTCCCCAGGGAGCTACTGTTTTTGCAGGTGAAAATAGGGTTTATTTCTGAAGTCTCTATCTAGTGGGTCACCCCAAAATGTATCCGAGATTTTATTAAAATCCATTAAAAGTTTCCACGTGTTTTCCTTGGTGAATGGAGCTATCTGGGTTTTTTGGGGGATTTTTCAGAAGGGTATTTTTTTTCCACACAGACAGTTTCTGTTGAACTCTTTAATACTTAGCATTTGCTAAATGAAAACCAAATATTTTTGAATATACAAAATTTATGACTGGAAAGAGAGAGACTGGATGGGAAGAAGGGTTAAATGAGCAACAAATCTGATGAGGAGGAATGGTAGCAATCCACCGGGCTGATGGCCAAGGAAGCAGGGCTATTTTTATTTTGTGAAAGTTATTAATAGAAGGTGTTCACCTTCTTGAGAGCTTGTATTAACCTTTCTTTGCAAAGGCAGCTCCATGGAGTAACTTCTTGCAGTCTGTTTCTCCCATAAGTGATTATTGATACTAAATTTTATTCATTTTTTAAAAATCAAGTGCATTCCTACAATTCAATGGTATGATTATATGTTTTACAGAAAACAAACACTGGAAATAACTAATTTTTCACTTCAACTTTTATAAATCAAATTGTAAAAAATTTTTTCCCATGAGTAAAGTTTTGTGATTTTTTTCATGTTGTTTAACGAATAAAGAATTATATTTATAAAAAAACAAGTAGTTTTTAACCAGAAGCATCTTTTAATTTCTTCCAGAGATGGGTGGTCTTTCCCTGTCCTCCTGCTGAGTGAAGTTGTAGGGTTTTAGTTGTGCAAAGTGGACAATGTCGCTGCAGTATTAAATGTTCACTCTGACTCTTGCTTTTTGTTTTTTCTTTTTGTTGTCTCATCCAGGCAAGGCCAGGACTTTTCAAAACAAGGAGCAGCCAAAGCCCTTTTAAGGTGAGAAGATGGAATCACCCAGTGCTGTGCAGGGTGCTGGGATGGCCAGGCTCAGGAAAGCCTCCCCTGATCCACTTTTACTCTGAGTTGCATTTCCATGGACCCTGTCAGCACAGCACAGCACAGAGCTGCCCCTGCTCAGTGTCCGAGTGTCCAGCACACAGAGCTGCCCACACAGAGCAGCCCTGGCTGGCCATGGCCGGAGTGTCCAGCACAGCAGCTCAGTGTCCAGCACTTCAGTGTCCAGCACTCAGAGCAGCCCTGGCTGAGTGTCCGAGTGTCCAGCACACAGAGCTGCCCCTGCTGAGTGTCCAGCACACAGAGCTGTCCCTGCTGAGTGTCCAGCATACAGAACTGCCCCTGCTCAGTGTCCAGCACACAGAGCTGCCCCTGCTGAGTGTCCGAGTGTCCAGCACACAGAGCTGCCCTAGCTGAGTGTCCAGCACACAGAACTGCCCCTGCTGAGTGTCCAGCACACAGAGCTGACCCTGCTTAGTGTCCAGCACACAGAGCAGCCCTGGCTGGCCATGGCTGGAGTGTCCAGCACACAGAGCAGCCCCTGCTGAGTGTCCGAGTGTCCAGCACACAGAGCAGCCCTGGCTGGCCATGGCCGGAGTGTCCAGCACACAGAACTGCCCCTGCTCAGTGTCCAGCACACAGAACTGACCCTGCTGAGTGTCCAGCACACAGAGCAGCCCTCGTTCGCAGAGGAATCGCTGCTGTGCCTTTCCTCGCTCCTCTCTGCAAGCCCAGAGCCGCTCTGGAGGCAGCAGAGGGTGCTGCTTTCCCGTGCTGCTGGGAGCCTTTTCCGGCCCTGTCGTGCCGGAGGAGCCCGGCTGTGTGTGACACCAGCGCAGGGGTGTCGGGAGTGGCCCCTTTGTGCACCTGCAGGACTGTGTCAGCAGTGAACCGCTGTGGTTTCGGGGTGCTCCCCTCGTGAGGAGACAGTCACCGACAGTACCTCAGGTAACTCGGCCCTGCTGGGGTTGTAAGTGCTGCTCTAAGGACAGGGAGGAAATTCTGCTCCTGTTACATATATCCCATCCTTTAAGGCATCCTCACATCCAGCACCCTGTGCTGAGACAGAAAGGCAGAGGAGTCGTGAGAGGAGCATCACAGCACGACTCTGCTCTCCAGGTGAACGCAAAGCAAAATACCTGGGTTCTGCTTTCTTATTTTTATTTTTTATGAAGGGTTTCGTTTCATTCAGCAGCCGCATTTACTTGTGCTGCAGTGTGTGAAGTGCAGTGCTGGCTGTGCTGGCATCTCAGTTCTCAAGAAGGGACTGAAATGAAGATAACCACTTCTTTTTCCTGCAAAGCGCCCCTGGGGAATGCCTCTTTTTTCTCCTCCATCCCACTCTCTTTTACTCCCTTCTCCACCCCATCTTCCAGCTGGGGAGGGTTTGTTGATTGTGCTCTGGGCAGGCTTGGCAGTGTTTCTCCCTGGTGTTTTCACAGCCCCTCTGTCCTGCAGCACACGGCTGCTTCGGCTTTGTGGCTGCACTCACAGGCACTCGTTGTTCCTCTGTGCTGCAGTGTGTCCCTCAGAGCCCGCAGGCACAGCCTGCATGCAGCAGGGACGTGTTTTGGGGCAGCGTGGCTGCTCTGCTGCTCTCCCCAGGGCACAGGGAGCTCGGGCTCTCTGCCTGTCCTGCTGGGTACAGCAACAGGATCCCCTCTGCTGCTGCAGCCCTCAGCCTCCCGCTGCAAGGGCAGTGCCACCCCGGCAGAAAACACATCCAGAGTCTGCTCCAGCCTCACAGTCCATGCTGGGAGTCCAAAGGATTTAAATATTTAACTCCAGACATTCAAAAGGGACGCAGTTGTCAGAAGGTGGATTGCATCATCCCCATGCAGACCCCAGAGCTGATCTGCAGCGCTGAATGCTGACCACAAGAAAGCAGGCACGCCAAGCCATTCCTCCTCCCACCTTCCTTTTGGTAGTCTCAGCATAAATTCACAAGGATGGGAGCTGGAAAAGTCTCTGCTAATCCAGGCTCCATCCCCAGTCAGTCAGTGGGATCCCACTGCAGGCCACAAACTCTGGCCCCTGTCAGTCACCCCCTCTGCCTCTGTTTGTGCTGTTGTTTGAGATGGAGACAGTGCCCAAAGCAAAGTGGCTGAAGATCAGCAATCCCTGCTTCTTGAGGAAGCAAGAAAGTCAAATATTAAGGAAATAAAAGCAGACAGGATTCCATAGGAGCTGTGATCTCATCTGGCGAGAAGCCACCACAAAGCTGGGAAGTTCTGCTTCAGCACTTGTCACGTCTGGTTTCCTGCAGGCTCCCTGCTGCTCCTCTCACTCCTCCACCCCACTTCTCCCTGAAATTAGTTGGGGAAAGTAACTTAAACATGAGCAGGACCAGGCCAAAGCAAAGTAGTTTTGAAAAAGCTACCCAGATATGTATCTGTTTGACATAAACCCTCCTATTTTGCAGGGTGTGAAAGAATATATTTGTGCTCTATCCACAATCTCCACGGTGTTTCTGGTCAGCTGGAGTAATACATTTATTCTGATGTGAATGTGTTTTTTTTTGAAGGACCACAGTGGCTGACATAGAGCAACTGTTCCCCACAGATATCAAAATACGCTCAACAAATTAGTGAATGAACAGTGCTTTTTTTCTCACATGTGCCCCAAGACCATCAGTGACGAGAAATGTCAAGACCCATGCTCGTGTCCAATCCCAAAAAAACAATGAGTGCAGCAGCATGCAGGGGCATTCATTCCACAGTGACTCAGATGGCAGGCTGCCACCTCCTGAATCACACAGCACTTCCTGCAGCTCCTAGGTGGTCCTTGGAGGCATCCCTGCAGTATGGCTTGCTGAATTTATGACAATCCACGGCTTTACAGCTCGAGCAGTATTGCTACAAACCAGTCCTTTTGTCTGGAAACACTGAAAAATTAATCACCTCCAAGGGGCACTACCGGGTCAGATTTGTCCAAAGGGCTGTTTTTGGAATGAGGACTGAAATGAACAGAATTGTACTTCCCAGGTTTATTTCGGTAAACAAATGAGTCTTTAAAAAACAAACAGCCATTCCCAGGAGTGGCTGAAACAAACCACAGAATCACAGAATCGGTTAGGTTGGAAAAGCCCTCTGAGATTGCCGAGTCCATCCTGTGACAACACCACCACGTCAACCGGAGCATGGCACCGAGCGCATTCCCTAAACACCTCGGGGCACGGAGACTCCGCCAGCCCCCCGGGCAGCCCTTCCCGTGCCCGACCCCCCTTCGTGTGCAGAAATGCGGAACACCGCGTGGCTGTGCGGACACCGAGGGTGGACACCGAGGGGTGCCCGCACGGCGCGCGGAGATCCCCAGCGCCACGCCCGGGGCTGGCCGCTGTTTCCAGCCTTTCCTGGAGCGAGGGTGGCACAACGGCACCGAACAGCCCGGATTTCACACAAAACGGTGCCGCCTGCGGCCCGGGGATGGGCACAGGGGCGGCCGCTGCGGGGCTGTCGCTGTGCCCGCGATCGCGACCTCCGCCGGCGGCAGCGCCCCGGCCCCGCTGCTCCGCGAACCGATGCTCCGCGATCCTCTGCTCCCGGCCCCGCTGCTCCCCGAACCGCGGCTCCCCGGCCCGCTGCTCCCCGAACCGATGCTCCGCGATCCTCTGCTCCCGGCCCCGCCGCTCCCCGGCCCCGCCGCTCCCCGGCCCCGCTCCGTTCCCGGCCCCGCTCCGCAGCTTCCCCCGCCGGTCCCGCTGCTCCCCGGCCCCGTTCTCTGCCCGGTTCCGCTCCGTTTCCAGCCCCGCTGCACCCCAGCACCGCTCCGTTCCCGGCCCCGCTCCGCCGCTTCCCCCGCTAGCCCCGCTCCGTGTGCCAGCTGCGGAGCCGGGGCGAGGCCGAGCGGTGGCCGCAGCCCTGCCGGGGCCCGGTGCTGGCAGCGGGGAGCGGCCCGGGGCACTGATGGGGCGAGGGGCCCCGGGGGGCGCTGATGATGGGGTGCTGGCCCCGGGGGCACTGGTGATGGGGTGCTGGCCCCGGGGGGCGCTGATGATGGGGTGCTGGCCCCGGGGGCGCTGATGATGGGGTGATGGCCCCGGGGGGCGCTGATGATGGGGTGATGGCCCCGGGGGGCGCTGATATGGGGTGATGGCCCCGGGGCTCCGCAGCCGCGCCGGGGATGCCGCGGGAGGGGCGGCTGCCGGAGCCCGGTACCGTGTGGGTTCGGAGAGCAGACACCGGTAACCGGTGCGGGTCGCTCGGTAGAGCAGCGGGTTGTTCGTGCGGGGTCTGCGGTTACCGCGGGGGTCCGGAGCACCCCTTACAAGGTCTGGTTACTGTGTCTCGTCTCTTACTACATAAACCTCTGCGAATACAACGGGGCTTTACATAATCCTCTATCTGAAGGCCCTAGACTGCTGTTATAAGGTCAGCCTTGCTGTAGCCTCCTGCTGGACCATGCTGTGTTTTGTCCTTATTCCCTGGCTGAAGTGGGCAGCCAGGGTGCCTGGTGGCCGTGCCTGATTCAAAAACTGTCAATTGTCTGAGCCGTGGCTCGAGATAAGGAAGTTTACAAAATGATTGTAAAAGTGGGAGTTGCTCCTTGGAGATAGATCATCTCTTTTTTTTTTTTTTTTTTTTTTTCCCATGATAGCAATGCAGGATGGCTCAATGAACCTTTTGTCCCAGGAGTAATCTGTGTCTTTCCCACCCCTCTAACATCTGATTTCTACACCAGATGCAGCGTTGCAAAGCTCAGTAGCACAGACAGCTGAGTCTTGCTGGTGTAAGTTGGCTGCTGCATCGTCAGGACCACACTGGGCAGAGCCTCCAGGGCCTTACAGTGAGAGTGGTCTGGCCATGGGATGGTCAGAGTGGCTCTCCCAGCCTGCAAGGAAGGATATTTCCGTGGTGAGTTAATAAGGGAACAGCCAGGAATGCCACAGAGCCGTGCTGCTGTTTGCAGAAGTGGAGGAGCATCTTCCCTGAGCTGCCCTGTCCCTCCCTGCCCCCTGTCACCGTGCTGGCCCTGCCAGGCTCTCAGTAGTGGTGCTGATGGATGCATCAAGCAGCAATTTGCTTTTCACCCCCCTTGAAGGCAGGGGATGAGCTGCAGCAGTGTGTTCCTCAGGGGATGCTGGGTTGTTGCAGTGCAGCAGCCTTTGCAGCCTCTCTCCTCTGCTCTGGAGGTTACTGAAGTGCACTATAATGTGCTTTGGGGCTTGTTTGTAAACTGCTGGATGCTGCTGGGACGTGGGCTGGTGTTCCAGGAACTGTTCAGCTGTGCTCGTGTGCAGGCACTCGCTGCTGCTGGAGGTGGGGACTGGCCTCTGCTTGTTGCTCTCCTGTCTCTGGGTTGCTTTTTTCCCCTGGACCCTGTTTCCTTTCCTCAGAAAAAGTGAAAGCAGCCTGCAAGGTCTCCTTGTCTTGTGAGGGCTAATTAAGAATTCATTAAGTTCCTGGAATTTAAAATCTGTAGCTAATGAGCCAGTGAGGCCACTGTGCCAGGGTTTGGGACTGCGTGCAGACAGCGCTGACAGATAATACTCCAAGTCACAATGTAGCTTTTGAAGAATACAAGATGTGGATTGGAGTGTGTTCTGTGGCTCTCTGTGGTTTGTGTTTTGGTCAGATTTTGTGGCTGATGCCTCTGCACACACTGGAATTGGCTTTGGTGGGCTCTGAGAGACCAGTGCAAGTGGTGGTTGTAATTTTGGGCTTTAGTACTTACTGAGCCTGGAGTCACCCAGGGCTGGTGTTGACAGGGACTGAGGATTAACTGGGGCTGGCAGGCAGTACCAGTGAGATGATTTCAGCTGGGCTGAGCTTATCTTCATGTCCTGTGGCAGGAGCCTTGTACTTGCATTAACGGGCAGGGCAGCTCAGCACATCAGCAGTGAGGAGCAGCTGACAGAGCTGCCTGAGCTGTGAGCTTCCCACACTGGGGTCTGTGGAGCTGCTGCCCCGGTCCTTTGTGTTTCCAGGTGTGTGATGGAGCTCATACCCACAGCTTGCCTTGCCAAGTCACGAGTCAGACACCAGTTGCTTTCAGACAAAGCTCTGTGATGCCTGCAGAGTAAAAGTGAGTAAGTGTCTGGTACCAGACTGCAGGCACTGGCTTCCTTTGCTGGTGGCCTTTGCAGAATGAGCTCATGTCAAGGTGTTGACTCACTTTCAGTTACTGCACTGCTCTGGAAAACAAAGAAATCTTCCCTTGGGTTACTCCATGTCAGTAACTGCTGAGGCTGCCCCTGTTTCCATGAATAATTGCTGGGGGAAGAGTGCAGTTGTCCTTAGCAAAGATGGGATGTGGCCTGTAGGTAATGGCCAAATACTCTCTGCTGAGTGTGAGAAAATCCAGCTAAAAAATAGCTGAAAGATGATGCCTTGTCATCCTCCCTTCTGGTTTTAGGTGTTGTACTTCAGCAGCATTGCAGGTCAGATTCAGAGTCTTTTGTGTTAGCGTCTTTTTCTCATTTAGTAGAGAAACAGCCACATGTCTTTGCCTTAGCTTTTTTCCTTAACACTGGAGGGTCTCGTGCACTGATATTTCCTTGTCTCATGGCTTTGTGAGGTTTTTCTGTTCTAGAAGATGGGAAGACAGACTTGAAGCTGAAGCAGTGCTGCTGCTGTGTAACAGTAAAACCTCCCCTGGGAGGAGAAAGTGACACATTTCTTTGTTCTCTTACAAAGCTTTCTCTTTAAGGAGAAAGCTTTTTACTTAAACAAACAAACAAAAGCACCCCAACAAGCAGCACCATCTGTCAGACACCAGAGCGAGAGCAGCTGAGAGCTTTGGGGCAGAAGGTGGTGATGTCTGAATGGAGTTACCAAACATGGGCTTTTTCTTTTAGCCTGCAAGGGGAATTTGATGAAGCTTCTAAGTCGGAGCAGCTGTGTGGATGTTAGCTTCAAACTGCTTTCTTTGGAGAGCTGGTATGTTATCAAGTCAGGAATCTGTCCTGAGGAGATCCCAGATGGGGCCTTGACACCATAAATGTACAAAGGCACTCAGTTGCACAAAAACTGCAGAAACAACTTCGTTCTGAAGAACGTGAGCCACAGATGGTAAACTGCCAAGAAAAGCAAGCAAGGGGTAAGGCCAAGGCGTTCTCTACATGAGAAGGCTGCGTTGGTCTCAGATGTTTGGAAATTCTTGGTGCAAGCTTCTCCGTGGATAAATTCTGCTCTGAATGGCCTCTTGTAAATTAAAATCTACTTGCTGCAGAGATGTGAGAAATGCCTGCACCCTAACAGTAGTGATTGGAGGTTAGTAGCAGGCCCTGGAGTTTGCCAAGCGTGGTTCTTGCCCTGATGCCCTGATTCATTGCTGGGTGGCACGTCAGGCCCCTGGCTCTGTGCTGCATTGCTGCTCAGTGAGAGGAGAACAAGAATGACTCCTGAAATGCTTCCACACAGTAGCCTGTGGTCCTTCCTGCTGGGGGTGAGGGGTGGATGGCGTTGTGCTGCGCTGGCAGCAGCTCCACGTGGAGAACCTCCCTGGATATTCAGTCAGCCCTGGAGTCTCACTGGATATTCAGTGCTCTTTGAAGGCTAAACCAGTCATGTTTACATGTGGACAGTGAGGGAGGGGCTGCTTTGTCCACACTAATCCCAGGGCAGTCATGCATCTGGGGCTTGAAGGTTCATGTAAAGCTCCATGTAAAGAAATACTCAGAGCTGTGTGACCAGCTGGTGAGGGGTGAGCTGAACGGGGAGGGCTCGTGTCTGTGTCCCAGTTCCTGTAAACTCCAGCAGCTGCAGAATAAACCTGCTGACCCTTGTGCAGAGAAGGGCTGTGGGCCTGTGTGGATGCAGAAAGTACCTGGCTTGATGCCTGTGGGCAGGAAATGGAGATGCTTGGACTTTGTGTTCCGGGCTGGTGTGACAGGCACGAGCTGCTGCAGGCTGTGCTGTCCCCTCTGTCGGGTTCTGAGCTGCCCTGCCTGGTGTCCCCACGGTGTCACTGCTCGTGTTCTGTGCAGCTGGAACAGGCTGGAGCTGGGGGTGGGAGTGAACCAGACTATTGGATGTTAATGTGCAGTGAGCCAGGGCGCTGCTTTTCCCTCTGTTACTCCCCATTCCTCACCTCGCAGCGTTCCCGGGCTGTGCTCCCCTCTGGCAGGGGTCAGATGGGCAGCTGGGAGAGGTTCCAGCCTCAGAGCTGGCCCTGGGGCTGATTCAGGGACTGGCACCTGCCAGCCCTGCTGGGTCTGCAGGGCAGGAGGGCTGCACCACAGCCCTGGCTGCAGCAGGATGTTGCTGCAAGGCTGGGAACGTGGCACGCTGGCCTGCCAAGCTGCACAATTCAAAAGGGGCAGCCAGTCTGCTGTTGGGAGCTTGGGTGATGGTGGAAATCTGGGAGTGGAGACAGACCAACACCAGGCTGTGCTCCTGGGGTTCCAGGCTGGGGGTTTGACTTGCTGAAGGTTGAGATGGGGAGAGGAAAAAGGGCAAGGTGTGTATCTTGTGGTTTTTAATGTGTCAGTGACTGAGCTCCATCCTGGGACTTGGGTACTGTCACTTCTTGAGAGCTGCCTTAGTTAATTATCTTCAGGTGATCCACTCAAGGACCAACAAGCTGCTGAGTAGTTGGATTTTTTAAAGTGTGCCAAGGAGCAGTTTTGGAGGGAATGGAGAGCTTTCCTGGGGGCTCACTCAGCTGCATCTTCCCTGTTTCACTGGCACTGGTGTCAGTGTGGCTGTGCTGCTGTTCCTGGCTAGCAGGGTGTCAGGGGGCTGCAGGTGTTGCCTTCTGGTGACACTGTTGAAGGGGCAGCTCCTGTGTGCCCACAGTGCCCACGCAGCTCCAAATCTGCACTTGTGGCACGAGTGACAATAACGTTAAATAACTTAAATCCCAGCCTTTATCTGGGTAATCTGGCAGAGCCTGGTGTGGCACGGAACTGGATTTGCAAGAGGCACAGCTCTTCCAGGAGGAGGGGACACCTGGTGAGGTTGCCTGGAAGGAGCAGTGCCCACAGCTGCAGGGAGGCTGGCACTGTGCAGTGCCCACACCTGCAGGGAGGGTTGTGCAGTGCCCACAGCTGCAGGGAGGCTGGCACTGTGCAGTGCCCACACCTGCAGGGAGCACTGTGCAGTGCCCACAGCTGCAGGGAGGGTTGTGCAGTGCTCCCTGCAGAGCAGGGCACTGCTGCCAGGGGAGCTGTGCTGTGTCCCTCAGCATGGCAGAGACCTCCAGGTGTTTTCCAGCCAGTCTGCTGCTGGGCTTTGTTCACTTTGGAAGGGACTCAGTGCTGCTGGGTGCATGGATCTCTCCCCTAAGGACCTCCTGCTGCATTTTCTGCAGAAGGGAGCTCGGCTGTGGCTCAGGAGGTGCCTTCCATCTTTGTCCTTGGTGGAGGATGTGGCTCCTGGGGCAGGCAGGGCAGCTCAGCCTCCTGCTGTGGCACAGCCCCACGGCAGCACAGAGTCTGTGGGTTAAACAGAATCTCCACTGCCTGCACGCTGGGACATGGCAGCAGCCCCTGACTAAGCTGAGCAGGTCAGGCTTTAGGCCAGAGTGTGGCAAGGCTTTTGGGATGCACCTGGGAACAGGCAAGAGCAGAACGGGGTATGTGTCTTATCCTCTGGGACAATTATAGCAATGCTTCTCTGTTCAAATGGAGGAGAATTGCAAGTTTTGGTAAGAAATCAGAATTGAGTGGCTCCTGGAGCTTTAGGGAGAAGAGATTTCTTGATGCAGGTGGGCACTGGAGAGCAGCGTGCTGTGTGCCAGGGCTGAGGAGAATTCCCCTGTGTATTTAAGACAGGAAAATTGGGTTGAAGCTTACAGCCACTCGTGTGGAGAGGAAGGTGTCACAACCAGCACTTGTTCAGAGGCGTGGGCTCTTATGATATTTGGATTGGGCTGTCTTCAAACTTGGCAAAAACACCACCCGAGGCTCAGTCTAGACTGCTTCTGGAAGAATCCTTGGCCTCATGGGAATCTCCATCTCAAGGTGCAGAGCAGAACAGCAGAAGGCACAGCAGGGATTGTGTTGGCATAAAACCCTTCTCAGCAGGAAAACGTTCAGTGTGCTCTCAAATCTTGCTTTGGCACGTTTGAGAGGAGCACAGGAGGAGTCTGAGCAGAAGTGGTGTCTGACCCAGGCTTGTGGTGCCAGGTGGAAGTGCTGGGGTCCAGGGGGACAGAGCTGATGGCCCAGCAGGTGACAGGGTGGCTTTGCAGGTATCTCAGTGGAACCCTGTTTTGCCTAGAGTCTGGCAGAAGAGCTGGGCAGTCCAATTATCCGTGCTTGGATGGATTTCTCCAGGGTGAGCAGCTCCACAGGCAGCTCTGGCCAGTCCTGGCTGATTTCTCCAAGGGTTGGTGTTACCTGGGGGGTTCAGCTGGTGCTCCCATTGAATGTCAGCAGCAGCAGTGTGATGAGCTGACTGCAGGAACAAAACCTCAAGGTGAGTTTAGTCTGGTGGGAGGTTTTAATGGAGGAAAAGGCTGTTGGATGTGGTGGCTTTGTTTGATGTTCCAGTCAGTTTACATCTGTCCCGTGTTGGGGACGTTGTGGTGCACTGGGTGGTGGGTGGCAGTGGCTTTCTCACTGCTTTCAAACTGGTGTTTGCACACAGCAAATCTCGGCCAAGCCTGCTCCAAAGGAGGAATCAGAACTGCAGCAGCAGCCAAGAAACAGCTGAACATACTTTGAGACTGAGCAGCCCAGAAAAGACAGAAGCCTACACACTGGAGACAGCATGACTGCCTTACCTCTGCTCTTCTTGATCTCTAAACTTTGAAAAAGCAAGGCAGCTTCTCTTTTCTGCCTGTTGAGTGCATCTTGCTTAAGAACAGACCTCCTGACTGTTTCTACAAGGCTTCTTAATTTCTATTTCTTAACTTCTATTAATCTGTCTCAAACCTGGTTTTTCTAACTGGAAACTTTCCATTGATGTCATGGGAGCTTTCCGTGGCCCACATCAAATAGCTGGGTTCACCAGGAATTAAGTGACTCTACAAATGTTTATGTTAAACACTTATTTGGAAGGCATGTTGACTTATGAGGACCTGTGGTGGCTGTGGTATGTAGGGAGGCTAGGTTGGCTGTACAGCTTTTGTCTTGCCTTTGAAGCCTGGAAGTGCTGGCAGCTGTTTAGAGCCCAGATAAGGGCTCAGGAGTGTTTCATCACTGACTCCTGCCCTGGTTCTTGTCTCCTGCACTGCAGAGGTCTCCCAGTGGGTCACCTTCATGGAGAGGATGGCCAAGTCTGGATAGTCACAGCAGAAAGCTGTTGGCACAATTACAGGTATGGAATTTTGTTGTTTGAGAGGGGAAAGCCACAGTTTAGTCTGCTGAGGAGCCCTGGGGAGGGAGGGAGGGAAGGAAGGAAGGACATGTGTGTTCTTCAGACCCTGCTTACTCAGCCTTCTGTGGTGGCCTCGGAGCATTTGGAAGGTGGAAAGAGAAGGGGTAAAAACCATCCTGGCATTCCCTGTCACCACCAGACAGAGCTCAGATGCTGAGCAGTGGCTGGCTGGTTCCTCCCCTGCAGGACATGCTGCACCCTGGAGCGGGTGAGGAAGCCACTTCAAATATCACTGGATTTACAGAGTTCAAGCCTGTCAAGCTGTTGCTTAGGAGTGAATTTCTGAGCGTGTCCCAGTAAGGCTGAGGAGCAAATTTCACCCCTTCCACTTGAACCAGTATTGCAGCTACTGTGAGCAATGCTGCAGTGCATGTCTTGGTCACTTTTTTTTGGCAAAAAAACATTTGTTCTGTATTACCACAACTGCTATTTCCAGGAAAAAGTTGCTCTGGGATATCTGGCCACCTGACAGTGCAGATGTCCTCTGCAAGCAGCATGTGCATTCCTGCAGCCACAGTTGGTATAATGTGCTTTTATCCTCCTCATTTTGGTGCACTCTGCACTCACAAATATGATTTGTCTGCTGGAGCTTTTACAGGGATAAGACTTCAAGCAGGCAAGCTAGAAAGGTTTCTCAAAATTGCTGCTTTTTGAAGCCTTTTGGTGGATGATTTAGGAAGCCAGCCAAAGCTTTTGGGTCACCCTGCCTCTCTCAAACCACCACAGCAATTTCCAGGGACCCTTTCAGGTGATGGGGAAAGCAGAATTGCATCACGCCGAGCCTGTGCTCACTGCCAGCTCCAGTGAGATGTGCAGTGTCTCTCCCTAATTATGGGATGTCCCAGGTCAATTATAGCTAAACACAGAGTCCAACCATGTCATTAAACTTTTTTGGCTAATGACAAGTCAGAAATCCAGCATCATCCCGGCATGCTCCGCTCTGGGGAGTTGCTGAGTGTGTTCCAGTAAAGCTGGCAGTGTGAGCTGTCTCTTGTGCAATCTGTCTGCCAGGAATATCCTCTTAGTTCAGCTCTTGGGAGCTGCTGGGCCATCCCTCCTAGCTGGAGTGTGCTGCAGCCCGGGGAGGGCTCCCCTCGGCCAGCCTGCCGCTGGAGTGCTTTGCTGAATGCTGACACACGTCTGGGCACTGCTCTGTTCCGTGTTTATCCTGCTCTTTCCTTGGCTTTTTGCTCCTGTGGCCGGGGTTTGAGTGCACAGCTCCTGGCAGTGCCTCAGGAGTGGGAGGTGAGCAGCAGGTCTCGCTGGAGGCTGGCACAGGCTGGGGCAGAGTGTGCTGGGCACGGGGATTCTCCCTGCCTGACAGCTCCAAACCCTGCAAAGGTCACATGGAGCAGCTTTCCACACTCCCTGCTGCCCAGAGGCAGGCTGGGCATCCGTGCTTCACCTCTTCCACTGCAGCAGGGGTGATGCTGGTGGAGCCTGTGCAGGAGCAGCCTGTCCTGGGCACAGCAGAAATGTCACTGCCGTTTGCTCTGCTCTGCTCTGCCTCGGTGCCCACCAGTCCTGGAGCTGCTCTGGGAGCTTCCTTCTGCTCTGGGAGATCTCTAGGAAACTCTGCAGAGCTGGGGGAGGGAGAGGGAACTGGAAGCTGAAGCAGGGATGTTGTGGACTTGAGGTTCTGGGTGACCCAGGTGTAGCAAGCTTGGGTTTGTCTGGACTCCTCACCTCAGCTGGCTGCTGCAGCAATTGGAGAAGAGAAATTGCATCTTCTGGCTATGTTGTTGGATTTGCAAAGGGTTTTTCCACAGCTTTTGTTGTGTTTAAGGGTGGCTGTTGTTCCCAGATTAAACTTGAATAGCAAACACAAGGCTGCTGCCAGCTTTCTGTCACAGACACCTTTTATCCTGCCTTCATCTCTTCCAAGCAGATGCTGCTTTCATTTCTTCAACTCTTTTTTTTTTTTTTTTTTTGCTACAAGACTAAAATTAACAGCCCTTTGATGGAGGGGAAGAAACTGTATTTCAAAGCAAAGTACCTAGTTAACTTTGATAATAGAACTGCTGTTTTTATCTTGGAGGTGATTCCTTGGAAGCAAACCTGAGAGCTGGCAGCTGCTGAGCCCTGCCCGCTGCGGGGGAACGTGCAGCTCCCTCCTTCCCTGGGAGCACCAGTGCCTTCCCTGGGCTGGGAGCTGCAGGTGGAGCTGGGAAGGAGTGCCAGGCTCTGTGTCGTGCCCAGGGTGTGTGTGCAGCTTGTTCTCCCAGCTCTCAGGGGGTGCCAACCACAGCCCCGGGCGTGGGGCACTGAGGGGAGCACAGCCCTTCAGGCAGGGCTGGCATCTGTGGCCAGGCAGAATTCATCCTGCCTTCAGAGCCCTGTCCTGAGCACCAGCTCCGTGTGAGCACCTTCCATCTTTTCCTCTTAGAAAGAGGAGCCCTGTCCCTGCCGTGCTTCCCAGAGGGGATGTGTAATAAGTTGTTTTTCCCGGGCCAGTTCTTATAAGCCCTAGAAAAACACTTAATACACCCAAGGATAGCTCAGCTAATACTTTGGGGGTATAAAATAAGCAGAATGGCTTCTGCTGGGTGTTAGAAACAAAAAACGTTTAATAAAAGGCAAAATAACAAACAGAAAAACTCGAGCCAGGTACAGGGGTCTGCTCCTGGTAGAAACACTTCACAAAAGCCCCTCTTCTCTTTTGTTCTGTTCTTTTCTACCTGATTGATCAGGTGGGACTTTTTGGCTTCTATCCAATTAGATGTTCTCTGGTGTTTGGTGAAGTCCCTGAGGCTCTATAAGGTGGCTTTTCACCTAATCGTTGAGAGAAACTTCTGGGCTTCTTCCCTTTTTTGGGGGACCAAGGTTAGCTTTGCCACTCTGTCATTAGGGGCACATTCCTACAGATGTGGGGTTGGAGCCTGCCTGTCCTCAGAGCGAGGACAGCTGATGGGTAGGGCTGAGCCACAGCCCAGCTCCTGCACCAGGGATGGAGAATTCCTAAACTTGGCCAGGGCAGGGAAGAGAAGATGCTGTTGTCATCATTCAGCACCTTGCAAGAGCTGTCTGATGGAGCAGGGCATGGTCCAGATCTCATCTCAGAGCAGGGGCAGGGAAATACCTGCTGGGACTCCCTGAGGGACACCATGGGAGCTGGTTTTGCCTATGGGCAGCTGCTGGAGGCACTGGAGAATCTGACAGGCTCTGGGGCTCCTGCTTTGAGGGACCCGTGAGGAGCCCCTGCTTCGGGTGTGACTGCTGAAAACATCCTTTTGCCAAGTGAGCAGAATGGGTTCCTAAACAGTGAGAGAAAAGTCACTTCCTCAGTGACTCAGCTGTCTCCTCTTGTGGGTTTTGTCTCCAGTGACACCCTGAGACTCCACAGACCGGGGATGGGAAGAGCCTCAAGCTGCAGTTCAAAGTGTGAAACATCCACTGGGGTCTTCCTACACGAGCTTGCAGCCTCAGTCCTTTTCTTCAGCACTTAGGAAGCCCAGGATGAAGAGATCTGGGTAAATGTTACAGAGGAATGCTGAGTTCTTTCCTGTGTCGAGGTAAGGCAGTGAGGAATGAGAACTGATCCACGTTTGTGTTGCTTAGAGCAATTTGCTGTGTGGTGTGAAGGCACTAACAGCTGGGACAAGGGGTTGAATTCACTTGTTTGGGACTTATTTGACCTGAGGATTAACACAAAATGCAGCCTGAAACTGGCTGGTTAAGGAACTGGAATGACTTGGACAGGGAGGGAGATGCTTAACCCCAAGTATGAGGAGTTCTGTCACCGTGCAGCTTGCCAGGCTTTGGACCAGGCTGCCCAGAGGTTGGGCAGGCTGTGGTGCTGAAGGCTCACAGGAGTAAATGGTGAGAGAGAGCAGGGTTGGAGTTCCAGGGAGGCAGGGATGGAGCAGAGCTCCAGCTCTGCAGCACGAGGCTCTGATTTTGCTGAATGTGCTGCCCTGGCCTCTGAAGCAGAGCAGCATCCAGAGCTGTGAGAGTCTGCCTGGAGGGAGCAGAGACTCCTGCAGTGGACCAGGATGGATTTGTTTCCAGTGCACGGCCCAGGTTTCAGCAATGCTGTTTCTGTCGTGCTGAGCAGCACCAGACACTTGCACAACTTCCCCTCTGGCAGGGCTGTGTTTGATGTAAATGCATGTGCTGAAGCTGCAGACACAATAAACGTGTTTGGGAGTAGCAGGCTGAGTAATCTGGTGCTTGGCAGCTGCTCTGTTGTGGGGATTTTTGCTTTACTGTTAGCAGTGCTTAAATGAAAAAAGGAAGAGACAGTAACTGAACGACCTTAATGTTAAAATAGCTCCAGCTGCTTTACCTGAGAGGAGGAGTCCTGCTGGCTCTGTGTCCTGACACGGATGTTGTATTGCCTTGGGGAGCAGGGACTGAGTCCTCACGCTCCACTGAGGATGGTTTCAAACCATCTTTTTGGGAAATGCTCTGCCCTGCTGTCACTGGGAAGGGACAGGGCACTTCTGGTAGGTGGCTGCTGAGAACATGGATTTCTGTTCAGAATTAATTCATTCACTGTTTCTAGGGGAAAGCAGTGCCTTGCTAACAAAAGTTTGGTCCTGAGGGGTTGGTGGTGGTGTTGGCCAGTCTCACAGCCACAGCCTAAAAAGTGCTTTTGGTGCAGGAGTGGAAACTCTGGGCAGGGGTAGAAACATCAAACTTCATCCTTTCCACCCACTGCTCATTATCAGACAAAACTAATGAATCCAGAGCGTTAAACAGAGCTGGGGGATGGACAGTGGGCAGTGCAGGCTGCAAATTAAGTGGGGGAATAACAAAAATCAGGGAGTTGTTGTGCAAGAGGGCGTCTTATTCTGGATTACTTGGGCCTCTTTAATGCAAATAGTTCTGAGCATAAACATTTACTGTTTAAAATTCATGGTGGCTTAATTGTGGAGGAAATGCCTCTCTAAATGCAGCCCATCAAATGGCTCCAGTGCCGGAGGGAAAACAAGCACGATGCTGCTCAGGGCTGGGTGTTCTGCAGCCAGGGCTGTGTGTTCAGGGTAAACTCCCGATGTGCAGCTAACATGCTGAGAAAAGAGCAGGTTGCTGGGGTCTCTGTAGCATCTGCGAGCTGCAGCAGCACCAACTGAGCTGTTTCCAGCCAGAGCCTCCTTGGGCTTGGTCTGCAGAGGCCGCAGGAAATGGGCACAGCAGAGCAGGGTGAGGGCTGAGCTGCTGGACTCAGCAGCAATTAATAATAATTAATAATGACAGTTTAACCTGCAGAGCTTCCTCACGCCGCTGCTGTCCTCAGAACAGCCAGGACAAAACTCCTGCCAGGTCGTTCTGGGAGACAAAAGAACTGCTGCAGGGTCCTGCCTAAGTGGGCTGGCCAGAGGAAGCTGGACCAGCAGTGCCTCATGCCAGGACCATAATTGCTGCAGACAAATGACTGCAATCTGCCTGTGAGAAGCTATTTTAAAGAGTCCTGATTTGTGCCTGGCTTTGACATGCAGCTGACATTCATAATTCACCTTATGCAGAGCTGGAAGGAGCCTAATGACCTCTGAAACATCCCCTGAACTTCCTCTGTGAGGAAAACCTGCCCGAGTTCACTTCTTTCATTTAAAGAAATGCCTTTTCTCTGCAACCAAAATTGCTGTTTGTGGCCTCCCTTCAGTGGGAGAGAAGATCTCTGGCACAAACTTCTGGAACTCCTTCTGAGTTGCTTCCACCATTACAAATATTTTGCCAAGTAAACTCTCTCCTGTTGCTTAGAATTATTTTCTGCCAGATGATGCAGCACTGTAGTTCACAGGAACTGGCTGGGTAGGTGGCAGTGGAAATTTAAGTGTCTAGCAAGTGGCTTGGTTGAGGATGGGTGGTGGTTACTGCCTCATGTTTTCATGTGCTCAGACGTGCTGCTCTGGGTAACCTCAGAGCTGTGCTCTGGAGAGCCAGACCCCGCAGGCACGGGCCAGAGGGCATTGCCCAAGAGCCAGAAACCTCCAGCAGAGCTGCCTGGGCAGTGCCAGGGTGAGGGAGAGAGGGGCTGTGTTCACACAGAATCACAGAGTTTCTAGGTTGGAAGGGACCTTTAAGATCATCGAGTCCAACCCAAGTTCTAACACCTCAGCTAGGTCATGGCACCAAGTGCCACATCCAGTCTTTTTTCAAACACACCCAGGGATGGTGGCTCCACCACCTCCCTGGGCAGATGATTCCAGTATTTGACCACTCTTTCTGTGAAAAACTTCCTCCTTAAGCCTAGCCTGTATCTCCCTTGGTGCAGCTTGAGGCTGTGTCCTCTTGTTCTGTCTGGAGAAAGGGACCGACCCCAGCTCAGCACAGCCACCCTTCAGGAAGCTGAAGGGAGTGACAAGGTCACCTGGATGTTGATAAGATTGTTCAATTACTGTTCAGTTGCAGCTGCTTCTGTGGCTGCAGGTGTGCCAGGCGTGCAGTGCCTGCTGCTGCCCTGCCCGCCGGGCTCGGGAGGGCTGGGCAGCAGAGCCCTGCTCCCTGCTGGGTGGGTGGCTGTTCTGTGCTGCCCTCCCAGCCCAGGGCAGCCCTGCCAGCCCCCAGGGACTTCAACTCCAGCACCGTGACCTGTCAGGGGGCTCCTGCTCTGCTGGGGCATTTTTCTCTTTGCTGGGACACTGCCACCTTGCCTGGCTGTTCTTGCCCAGCCTCTCAGCTCTGTGCCTGCAGTTTTACTTTCTGGGAGGCTGCGGAGCCCTGCCAGCAGCTCAGCCTGCTGCTCCTCAGGAGATGGGGCTGAGCAGGTTGCCCCCGTGGCAATCTTCTGCAGCGTGAGGCTGCCAAAGGCATCGCTGTGTGACGAGGCTTGCCTGGCCACTGCTGGTCCCAGTTCAGCGCTCAGAAACTCGCCCTGGCCGTGTCGTGGTGCAGTTGTTCTGTCAGCCCTGCTGGAGCTGCCAGGTCTCTGCTGGCACGGCTCTGGCAGCTCCAGCAGCACAGGTGAGCTGCCCCTGCCCAGGGTTTGCTCGGTGTTCCGTGGGTGGGAAGGTGCTGAGGCCAGAATCTGCTGAAGTGACTGTGGCAGTGCTGGGCCAGGTGTGCCAGCCCTCCAGCCAATGGGCCAGGTGTGCCAGCCCTCCTCCCAATGGGCCAGGTGTGCCAGGTGTGCCAGCCCTCCTCCTGCTGGGCCAGGTGTGCCAGCCCTCCTCCCAATGGGCCAGGTGTGCCAGCCCTCCTCCTCCTGGGCCAGTTGTGCCAGGTGTGCCAGCCCTCCTGGGCCAGGGGTGCCAGGTGTGCCAGCCCTCCTCCCAATGGGCCAGGTGTGCCATCCTTCCTGAGCCAGGTGTTCCAGGTGTGCCAGCCCTCCTCCTGCTGGGCCAGGTGTGCCAGTTGTGCCAGCCCTCCTGTGCCAGGTGTGCCAGCCCACCCAGACCTGCAGAAACACCCAGTGCAGGTCACCTGCTGTGTTTCAGGTGCTCAGAACTAGCAGCAGGGAGAGTGCAGTGTCCTGGCTCCTTGGGGCTGAGGTCTGGGTGCTCTTGGAGGCTCCTTCCCTCTTGAGCCCACCTCAGATGTGCTGTGGCATTGCTGGTCCACCTTTCAGCTTGGTTACACAGAATATCTCTGATCAAGGGGTCTGCTCTCAGCCCCATCAGGGGAGGGGGGATATCCCTGGTGTGGAACAGTTCTAAAGAAGGGGAGGCATTGTGGAGGGTGTTTCTGGGGTGTCTGGCTGCTGGCTGTGCACATTCCTGCCTGCTAGCAGGTTAGCCAGCAGAATGGCAGCTGTGGCTTCTCTGGCTCTTGGCTTGCAGGGTGGACATTCAGCCCAAGAAAATTAACCAAGTTTTCCTTATGCTTTTCTACTGAAATCACAGAAACCTGAGCAAAACTGCAGTGGGTTTTTAGTCCCATTCACTGGTGCTGTCAGGGCTCCTCTGGTTCAGCTTCTAAAGCTGCAAGCAAGTCACTGGCCATGTGCAGTATATTAATTTCCTTTTCTTCTCCTGAGGTGTGTTCCAGGCTGGAAATCTCTAGGGCAGGGCTCTGATTCATTGTCTGCAGAGCACCCAGAGCCTGCGAGGTGTTTAAAGGTTTGGCCTCTTATCTGTGCAAGTACACCTAGTGAATGTTATGGGAAGGAGATAAAGCCACAGTAAACCGACTTGAAGAAATAAAGTAAAACTGGAATCAGGGAGCTGAGGGTTCTGGATGTGTCCCTGTTGTTGGTGCTGCAGACAGGTCCTGCGGGTGCAGAGCAAGCTGGGGACAAACTCTGTGAGGTTCCAGAGCTTCTGAGCAGCAGAGGGAAGCTGGACAGCAGCTCTGCTCTGCCACAGGCTTACTTGCAGAGCTGTTCTCCCTATTTAACAGCAGGATTTGCCTTCCATTTAAATGTCTCTGCTGTCTCCTGCCTTGATCCATTTGCAGCAAGCAGTTGTTTTGGAGCCTGGCATTTCCTTCTGGTATGGCAAGCTGAGAGCTTGCTCTGAGCACCTAAATGGAAGGGAGATCTAATTCTGGCTGAAAATTGCAGTGAATCCTTTTCTCTGAGTCACCCTTAGGATTTCACTCCCTGGTTTTTAAGCCCAGAAGGTTAACAATGGAACTGAAAATAGCATGGGAGCAGGAGTGCATCCTGGGGATGAGCTGGTGTTGGCAAAGCAGAGCAGAGTTGAAGCAAGCCTGAGCTGTCGATAAGACAGATAAAAGCACTTTCAGTGTTTACATTTGTACTTAAACCTGCAGCAGCTCAAAGGTTTTGAAGCAGCTCATTCCCCAGCATCTCTTCTGGTTTATGGCTGGCTGGGTCTCCTGTGGGGCTGCCCAGGGCATGAATCCATTCATTTCACAGGACTGGCCTTTCTGTCTCCCTCCTGTGCAGGAAAGTGCCTGCACTGTCTGAGGAGGCTTTTCCTTCTGAGAGATGGGGGCATCTCTGTGTTCCTGGCTGCAGGGCAAGGTGCCACCCTGCCCTCTGCAGCAGGCTGGTGCCAGGAGCAGCAGAGCCAGCTGTGAGCAGGGACTGGTGCCTTGCCCTGCCCAGGAGCTGTGTTACACCTCAGTCCTGGCATGGGCTGACTGTACCTGCCCTGCTCTGACTCTAACCCGCCCCTCTGTTTCAATATTTTACCTTTCTTCACCCCTTTCTCCTTATTCTGGCCGTTGTCTTCCATCTGCTGGGCAGTGCCTGGGCGAGGCTCCCGAGCAGTGCAGGGGATGAGTGGTGCCAGTGTTTGGGAGCTGCTCTGGGGCAGAGCAGGCACTCAGGGCTCTCACTGGGATGTGATTCTGCTGCAGCAGCCTCAGAGAAATACCATGAAGCTTGTGTTGGCAAAAGGCAAAAAGCCACAACGAGCCAGGCATTGTTTTGCCAATGAAGAGCACAGTTGTGTTCCCTTGCTTCTCCTGAGTGTTTTGTGCTTCACAGAGGTCTGCTGCAGTCTGCTTTGTTTTGGTTCTTGTTTCCTATGCTGTGTGCTCACATGTGCTGCACAGGAAATCTCTGCCTCTCCTCCCTCTGCCAATGTTTTGTTCCCATATCCTAATCAAAATTCCAACAGCTGAATTTGCCTGTGGACTTCCACGTGTGCCTTGCCAGTCCCTTGTTGGCAGCTTTTGTCCGTGTGCCTCAGGCCCTGGGGTGCCAGGGAGTTCACCTGGTGCTCCTGTCTGGATTCACCCAGCCTGAGCAAAGAGCCTGAGCTGAATCTTCTCCAAAATCCCTGCTCTGGGTCAGCATTAACGTGCCTCTCCCGAGGTCTGTTTTGGCTTGCTCTGGGGATGCCTGGGTTGGAGATGCTGCTGCTCCTTGTCCCCTGAGGGGCTGTGAGCCATGCAGACTCCTGGGGCACAGCAGCCCAGCCATCCCTGGCATCCCCTGGCTGCCCTCCCTTTGTCATTGCTTGTTTTCAGCTGGTGGCCAGCTGGCTTACACGGCCCAGGATTTGTTTGGGTGTTGTGGGTGGTATTTATTTAGCTTCCAGGATGTGGTGGGCATCTCAGCAGCTGATAACGTGCTTGGGCCCATTGAAGTGGCTCTTCTGTCTCAGGGCCCAACATCTGAGGTCCCTGAATAGTCTGAAATATCTGTACTGCAGCCTGTGCTTTGGGATGTGACTTTTAAAGAATCTCAGGCATTTTCCTCTCCATTCATGATTTTTTTAAAAAGTGGGTAAGGAAAGAACAAATAGTCTTGTCTCTTGTTACTTAAGCATTGGGATTTCTCTCACTGTTCCAGTGGAGTACCTTGGTGCTAAAAACCTGTGGGGAAGCTGCTGAATTCACCCCTAACCCAGAGCCTTCCCTGCTCACCTTCCAGCTGAAGCCTTGCTGATGTCCAGTAATCTTATTTTTAAACCAGATCTGATTCATGCTCTGTGTTCTATGCCAGATGAGGTCCTTGGTTGTGAGTAAGTGTTGTGACTGTAGCTGGCAGGAGCGCTGCGTGATTGCCTCACTTCAGGAAATGTTAAAATAACACTTTTTTTTCTTAGAAAGCTCGTTTGCACCCCTCCCACTTCTAATTCTCCTAATAGCTGCCCCCAGTTTGGCAGCTGTGTGACAGAGGGCTGTTTGTGTTGCTGAGTGAGAGCAGAGCCACTTGAGTGGATGCAGTGCTGGAGGAGAGGTGCACAGAGTGAGCAAGGATCTCTGGCCAAGCTGGCTTGAACGTCCCAGAGGCTTCTCTGCAATCTGGAAGGGAAACTGCTCAACTGTGAGAAGGATCTTGCTCCTCCCCCTGGGCTCTGCAGCTGAAACTGGGGATTTGTGTCCCTCCTGGAGCAGAGAAGGCGCTCACTCGAGACGAGCCAGGCAAAGGTTTATCTGCCCTTGGCTGCAGGGTTTGGGGGGCCAGGAGCTGCTGGCATGAGTGTCCCCCAGGGCTGGACCCAGCAGCTTGTGTCTGCAGCTCTGGACTTGCAGTCAGCCCCCCGAGGTACTCAGCACAGCTTTGCTTGCAGAGAATTGTCTCCTCAGCCCTGCAGCTGATGCGTGCAGCTTTCCTTGGTGGTGGAAGTGAAGCCCACGTTGCTGGGATGGACAGATGAACGCTGAGCTCTGCGAATGTGGCACACGGGGCCGGCTGTGCTAATGTTTAACTTGTCTCCTGTTTTTCTTTCCATCCATTAGGCAACCCTGAGTGGTGCACATCCTGACAAAGCCTCCTGGCAACCCTTTCTGCGGGGCTGGATGACAGCGGGAGCTGCCAGGTAAATCCATGAGCCCGTGAGGAGGCGAGGCCAGGACACACCATGGGTCAGAAGGTCACGGGTGGCATAAAGACTGTGGACATGAGGGACCCTGTGTACAGGCCACTGAAACAGGAGCTCCAAGGACTGGACTACAGCAAGCCCACCCGGCTGGACCTGCTGCTGGACATGCCCCCGGTGTCCTACGAGGTGCAGCTGCTGCACTCGTGGAACAACGACGACCGCTCGCTCAACGTCTTCGTCAAGGAGGACGACAAGCTGATGTTCCACCGGCACCCGGTGGCGCAGAGCACCGACGCCATCCGGGGCAAGGTGGGCTACACGCGGGGGCTGCACGTGTGGCAGATCACCTGGGCCATGCGCCAGCGCGGCACGCACGCCGTGGTGGGGGTGGCCACGGCCGAGGCCCCCCTGCACTCCGTGGGGTACACCACCCTGGTGGGCAACAACCACGAGTCCTGGGGCTGGGACCTGGGGCGCAACAGACTCTACCACGACGGCAAGAACCAGCCCAGCAAAACCTACCCCGCCTTCCTGGAGCCCGACGAGACGTTCGTGGTGCCCGACTCCTTCCTGGTGGTGCTGGACATGGACGACGGCACGCTGAGCTTCATCGTGGATGGGCAGTACATGGGGGTGGCCTTCCGAGGGCTCAAGGGGAAGAAGCTCTACCCGGTGGTGAGCGCCGTGTGGGGCCACTGCGAGATCCGCATGTGCTACCTGAACGGACTGGACCGTGAGTATGAGCCCGTGCTGGCCCGGCTGGGCCACACTGCAGGGCTTTCCTCTGGCTGCAGGGGTGGGCACTGGTGGCAGCAGCACTGCTGGGTGCTGCTCTGAGAGCGCACAGGGCGCCTGGCTGCACAGCTCTGCAGCAGAGCAGGGCTTGGGGAGGGGGTGTGCTGGCAGGAGGTGATGCCCATTGTCCAGCTAGAGATGGGAAACCTCCTGTTGCTGCCAGCAGAGCAGCAGGAATGTTCTTCTGACAGTTGCGTTGCTGGCACTGGAATCCTGGTGTCTCTTTGCAGAAAACAGTCTCTGAGACAATCCCCTTCCTTAGAGGGGATGTTTAAAATCCCTTGCGGGCAAGAACAAGGGACTGATCTTCCCATCTAAGAAAATGGGAACGTTTTCCATCTTTCAGAAGAGTAGCTCACTCCCCTGCCTCTCTCAGAGCAGGGTGTGCTCGTTTCTAGCAGGGGGCTGGGTGCTGTCGTCAGCCCAGCTTGCATGCCAGGCCTTTCACTAACAGGCACATCAATCTCTAGCTCAGCTTAGTAATAAATTTGGCTGTCCAAATGTGCTAAAGTCTGTTATCTCTCATAGTCAGAAGTTCCCATGGGGCCAGACTGTGACTCAGTCCTCTGGGTAGGGTGGAGGAGAGAGGTGAAGGAAGTGGATTAAAATCTGGATTTATGTCGCTAGTGAAATAAATTTGGCAGTATTGGTATGAGGAGAAGTTTCCCCTGCATTCCAGAACAGTGTCTGCTCAAGGGCTGTAGCATAGTGGCTCTTCTGTTTGTGCTGGAGGTGTCCAGCACTGGAGAGCCCTGAGTGCCACAGAGCTGTCAGTGACCAGGAGAGCCTTGCAAAGGGGCAGGAGCAAAATCTGCAAGTGCTTTGGGAAATAACACTTCAACTCTGCAAGACCAAACAGAGAGCTCTTGGCAGAGCACTTTCTCACCCAAAGAAAGCCCAGCTCCTTGTGCCTCAGCAGCTTCAAGGATGTCAGCAGCCCCAGGAACCAGGTTTTGCTGCAGGGTCCCAGCCCAAACCTGCAGCTCCACTCCAGGGCAGCGAGTCTGGAGCTGCTGGCACAGAGCTGCTCTCAGCAAGGCAGGGCCACCCCCAGGAGAGGAGCTGGTTGTGGAGAGCTCTGAGCTGAGAGTGAATGGTGGGCAGCAGGCCAGCGCTGCCGGGATGCTGCTCTGGCACAGAGAGGAGGAAGGTGTCTGGCTCTGAGCACTGCTGAGCACTCAGAGCAGCACTGTCAGTGCTTGTGCTGCTTGGGAATGGAAGGAGGTGTGTGTGTGTGTGCTTTCCAGGTGGGGACAAACCTGAGTCTCTGTGGAAGAGCCTCTCCTTTTAAGGGCACTGGACTGAGATGTGATTGTTCTGTGGATATCCAAAGGCCCTGGGGTCAGCCCTTTTCCTGGGGTGCTGGACACTGGGCAGTGCCTCTGTCCCTGTGCAGGGCAGGCAGAACTGGGGCAGGCTCTGAATGCAGCGAGTCCGTGCCCCAGTGCTTTCAGAGTGAGCTGCCCTGGGCAGTGCCAGGGGACTGCTGCCAGCCGTGGCTCTGGGCAGTGTCCCAGCCAGGGCACAGAGGAGCAGGGGGCTGCAGGAGCCTGTCCCTGAGCAGGGACCCTGGGCTGGGTGAGCAGCAGAAGGGCTGTGGCACACAATTGTGTGGAGTGCTGGGCTTGGCAAGCTGTGTGAGCACTCAGGTCCGTGTGGTGTGGAGCTGCAGCTTCTCAGCCAAGCTCACCTGTGGCTGCTTGCAGGTGTCTGTGAGCGAAGGAAGCTCTCTAGTGGAGCAGCAGAGCCCTCAGGCCATGGAAGGATGGCCAGTTATCTGCTTTGGGATGTGTCAGCCCTCTCTGGGGACAGGACAAGCCCCTCGGGCCTCAAGGTGAGCTCTGACAGGCTCAGCAGTGAGGAGCTAACGTGGATTTTCCTCCTGTGCAGCTGGGATGTTTTAGCTCTGGCTTTGACCTCGGTCCCCTCTGTGCTGTGAGTGACTCCTCAGCAGCCAAGGGCCCCGTGTGCCATTCCTGAAAAACTTGTATTATCTTGTTCAGGGTTTTAAGTACAGGATGCAGAAAAAGATAGCCAAAGGCTTGTGTCCTGCCCTGTGACAGCAGGGACTGCTCTGCTGGGAGGTGTCAGGGTGCAGGCAGTGACATGGAGCTTTGACAGATGGCTTTGTTTTCCTTGGGAGCTCTGCAGTGTAAGTGAGGGGCTGTTCCCCTCCTGTGTGAGATAAATCCTGCTGCTTTCTGGGTGCCAGGCCCCGTGAGGCTCTGGCTGCTGAAGCCTTTTCCTTGAGTGACTCTTACAGAAGTTTCTGGGTACTGCAGTAAGAGGCATGGGCTAGAAGATGTGCTCTGACTGGAGTGACTGGAATTGCAGAGGAGGAACATCCAGCTGGAATTGCAGGGTGGTTTCACTCACAGAGTGTGGCTGAAGTCGCCTGCAGACACCTCGTGCCCTGCTGGAGTGCTGGGTGAGCTTCACCTGCATGGCTGAGGTGCTGCAGACCTGCCAGGTGTGCAGTGTCCTGCTCTGAGCTCCCTGGGGTTATAGAAGAGCAGGTGAGTGTGCACCTCATTCCAGGTCTGCACTGCTCCTGCTCAGAGCTCCCTGGGTTTGGCAGCAGCAGGGTCAGTGTGTGAGTGTGCACCTTGTGCCAGGTGTGCAGTGCTCCTGCTCAGAGCTCCCTGTGTTTGGCAGCAGCTGGGTGAGTGTGTGATTGTGCACCTTGTGCCAGGTGAGCACCTTGTGCCAGGTGTGCAGTGCTCCCTGGGTTTAGAAGCAGCAGGGTCAGTGTGCACCTCATTGCAAGTGTTCAGTGCTCTTGCTCAGAGTTCCCTGGGGTTTAGAAGCAGCAGGTGAGTGTGTGAGTGTGCACCTTGTGCCAGGTGCTCAGAGCTCCCTGGGTTTGGCAGCAGCAGGATGAGTGTGCACATCATTCCAGGTGTGCAGTGTCCTGCTCAGAGCTCCCTGGGTTTGGCAGCACCAGGGTGAGTGTGTGAGTGTGCACCTCATTCCAGGTGTGCAGTGTCCTGCTCAGAGCTCCCTGGGGTTTATAGAAGAGCAGGTGAGTGTGCTCCTCATTCCAGGTGTGCAGTGTCCTGCTCAGAGCTCCCTGGGTTTGGCAGCAGCAGGATGAGTGTGCACATCATTCCAGGTGTGCAGTGTCCTGCTCAGAGCTCCTGGGGTTAATAGAAGAGCAGGTTAGTGTGCACCTCATTCCAGGTGTGCAGTGTCCTGCTCAGAGCTCCCTGGGTTTGGCAGCACCAGGGTGAGTGTGTGAGTGTGCACCTCATTCCAGGTGTGCAGTGTCCTGCTCAGAGCTCCCTGGGTTTGGCAGCAGCAGGGTCAGTGTGTGAGTGTGCTCCTCATACCAGGTGTGCAGTGTCCTGCTCAGAGCTTGCCAGGTGCTCAGAGCTCCCTGGGTTAGAAGAGCAGGTCAGTGTGCACTGCTGGGCTGGTAATGTCTCGGCTCTCTCTCCCCAGCTGAACCACTGCCTCTGATGGACCTGTGCCGGCGAGCCGTGCGGCTTGCCCTGGGCAAGGACAGACTGGCTGAGATCCCCAGCCTGCCCCTGCCAGCCTCCCTCAAGAGTTACCTGCTCTACCAGTGACCCCCGTGCCGCAGGACAGAGGTGGAAGCGAGGCGTGGATGAGCTGCCCGCGGAGCCCTGGGCTCTCCTGCTGCTGGAGCTGCCTGGCCAGAGGATTCCTGCCCTGCTGCAGCCTCCCGTGCCTCCCTGGGGCAGCCCTGGCTTCACAGCTGAGTGCTTTGCTCCTCGGGAGTCCCTTCCCCAGCACACTCACAAAAGGAACATTGGCAGAGGCTCTGTGCTCCCCTCTCCTCCTGAGAAGAGGCTGTGCTGCCTCGGGGAATGGTTCTTCTGTAGCAGCTAAAGGGAAGGATGGTGGTAAAAGAAGAATAATAAAAGAATTAAAACAATTTGGGGGAAGAGGAGGCATTAGGAGTGGAAGTGTTAAGACCATGTCCTGAGAGGGGAAAGGCTCAGGACGGCCAGCGGAGTTGGAGAGAGTCTGGAATGCCATAAAGAATTAATTGATGAGTTTTTAAAGGCCAAAAAATAGAAAGTACAACCCCAAGCCCTGAAACACCAAAACCAAGAGCCCTTCCTCCACCAGGACACTTCTTGATTTGGAGCAGGTGGTCATGCTGCTGCTGTCTGTATCTGTGCTGGGCCCTCTCCCCTTGCTGTGTTGCTGTTTCACAGGGTTCTTGTTGACCAGCAGTGCTCATCCTGCTCCCTGCTCTGCTCTGCCTCCTCCCCGTGGCTTTGGCAGCTGATTTTGAGTCGGGCTGTGTCTTCACACTCCTCCATCCTGACTGAAAGCTGCAGCTTTTGCTCTGGGCTCCCTGGCTGCTGTGGGACAGGGCAGGACAGACCTGAGCCCCAGCGTGGCACCGTGTGTGTGAGCTGGCACACAGCTGGCACACAGCTGGCACACAGCTGCAGGTCCTGTCCCCTGGGGCTTCACAGCAATGCTCAGGTTCTCTAATGGCACTGCCAGGGAGTTCTCTTCTTGATAAGCTGCTTAAATTCATCCAAGCCAGGCTCTGCTCTGTCCCAGACCAACCTAATCCCCGCCTAACTGCAGCAGGAGAGGCTCTGCCCGTGGGGTGGGGCTGTGCCACAGGAGGGGTCACAGGTGAGGAGCAGCCCCAGGGGTCACACAGCCCAGGGGTGACCTTCAGGCACAGCAGGGACAAACTGAACCTCTCCAGGGAGCAGGAGAGAGCTGCAATAAACAGGACAAGCAATTCAGGCAAAATCAGCACATCCCAAATAGATCCTCAGTAGCCAGGTGGAGAGGATGGCACTCCTTTATCAGCAGGAGCTGCTCTCTTGACCTCTCCACAGGTTACTATGCTGCCTTTCTGGGGTTATTTTGCACATTTCTTTGTGGTTTTTTTCTTGAAAAATGTTTGTGTGATTGTTTTGGTTTTGCTTTTGAGTTATCCCTTCAGTTTTGTGTAGGTACAAATGAGTTTAGTTGTTGAAAATGTTAATATATATATGTGGGGTGTATGTACAAGAACATGTTTTAAACAGCTGCTGTAGGGTACCTTTTTGAAAATAAACTACTTGCATAGTATATTTTTTAAAGCACAGAGTTGGTGCCAAGACTGGGTGGGGTGTGATGTGCCCCTTTTTTATTCTAATATTATATGAGGTTTTTTTTCAACGTAGGGGTTTGTACTAGTTTCTGTTGCAGGGTGGGACACAAAATTCAGTGTGTGTGGGGCCCTGCTTGGTTGCCTTCAACTTGAACCAGTGTCTTCCAGAACTCCAGGGAAGTAGCTGTGTTCTCCCTCCTTCTGATGCTCTTTGTGCTCCCTCATTTCCATCTCTCCTCACTTCACCAGGCCATGACTCTGTACAGTTCAAAATCCTTTCTATTTTATGACTGTAGATAGCACTCAGTAACCTAATAAACTTTATTAAATATTACTTGTGGTGGGTTTTATTTGCACGAGCTGATCAGATTTCTTTGGGCTTTGTTTCTGCACCAGCACTTTTCCCCAGGAGCGTGCCCAGGCAGGCAGGGCAGGGGCTTTATCTCAAAAAATCAATTCACAGCTGAGAGGAACTGAAAGGTGTGTGCAGGCTGAGCTCAGTGTGTGCCTCAGAGATGGAGCTGGGTCACCTGTGGCCAGGCAGCCTTGGCTTCCTGCTGCCCTTGCTTTCCAGCTGCTTTCCAGCTGTTTCACAGCTGCTTTCCTGTGCCTCTCACCTGTGCAGGGCAGGGAGGCTCCCCCTCTGTGCCAGCCTCTCCAGCCCTGGTGTGCCTTTGCCCCTGGTGATGATGAAGGCTCCAAGTCCTCCTCCTGTGCACAGGCTTCCCTGCACCAAAGCTTTTACTCAGTTCACACACACAGCAGCAGGTGAGAGCCTGGGGCTGCCCAGGGGGTGCTGGGTAGGGACGCCCCAAAAAAAAGTGCTTTCCTGCCTCTTGTCTCCAGTCAGGACAAGATTTTAATTTTTTTTACGTTTTGGGTGTCTCTTATGTGTGGTTCTCCAGCCCTGGTGGTGCCTTTGCCCCTGGTGATGATGAAGGCTCCAAGTCCTCCTCCTGTGCACAGGCTTCCCTGCACCAAAGCTTTTACTCAGTTCACACACACAGCAGCAGGTGAGAGCCTGGGGCTGCCCAGGGGGTGCTGGGCAGGGATGCCCCAAAAAAAAGACAAGTGCTTTCCTGCCTCTTGTCTCCAGTCAGGACAAGATTTTAATTTTTTTTACGTTTTGGGTGTCTCTTAGGTGTGGAAAACCACAGGAGTGAGACGAGGGTTTGTACACAGCTCCAACATCCAGCAAAGGCAGGGGAGGCAGCTCTGGTTCCTGCACAGGCTCTGCCTGTCCTGTGTGCTGGGAGTGCCTGCAGGGTGCACAGGGCTCGGGAATTAGTTCATGCTCAGCTCCAGACACCCAAACAGGCTCGTGTTCCAGCTGCATGGAATATTTGAAACAAATGACCTGCTCGGGGCCGGGAGCCTGCCCTGTTTATGTACAGTGCCATGGCAACAGGGGAGGAAGTCGTGAGCTGGGGATTGGCCCTGGTGGGATCAACAAATGATATCACAGATTAGCAGCTCCTAATAAATCAGTGGAGCTCTGCTCTGCTTGCCTCCATCCCAGCCCTGGCAGGCACTTCTCTGCCTTTTGGGGAGCAGGAGAAGCTGCAGGTTCTGCTTGTGTCAGGAGAGCCTTGAAAGCCACCCCTGCTGCCCTGCCAGCATCCTCCTCCTCCTCCTCCTCCCGTGCTGACTCACCAGGGTTGCACATGGAGATTTTGGGAGGCTGCTGGCCCTGAGAGCTGCCTGCCTGAGCTGCAGCAGAGCTTTGGCACCCTGGTGCTCGGCAGCTTTCCTTCCTCCTGGGAGCTGGGGCTTTGTGGAGGTGACTTGTGTCCAGAAAAGCGTGCCAGGGGAGAAGTGCAGGAGCTGGTGAGGCAGTGCCATCCCTCTGGCAGCCCTGCCAGGCTGTCTCAGAGCAGTCCCACTCCTGCCCAAAGCTGTGCCCGTGGCTCTGAGCTGTGACAGTGCCAGGACAGGAGCACGTGAGGGGAAAGGCAGCTGCCAGTTCTCTCCTTTGTCTGCAGGACAGAGTTCATTTCTGAGCTCAAACACCTTCCCTGTTGGAGCCAGGACCTGTCGAGTCCTCTGCCAGTATCCAGGCAATTTTCCCTGGGCCTGGGATGTGGGAACTCGAAAGAACGTGCGTCACACTTTTGAGAACTCATTTTGGCAGTCCCACCTTTTCTGCTGCAGAAGGTAAGGCAATTATGGAAACCAGCTCCTAGCACGCTGCCCTCCTCTCCCACACGCTTCCTGTGCAGAGCTGATGCTGTTGCTCTTATGCCAAAGCTGCATTTGACTGGAGAAGGAAATACAGTGATTTATTTAGTAAATCTATTAAAATTACAAACCTAACCCAAAGCACAGCCTTTTTGGCTTACAAAACAGTGCTGAAAGGAGCAAAGCCCGTTCAGTGCTTGCACAAAACACACTGAGGCACCCATCCTGCCTTTGCACATGTTTTCATTCGAAACTATTGCAGCCTTGTCTGCCCTTCAGACAGAAAACCATTCCAAGCAGCTGCCAGATGTTTTGTCTGCCTGGTGTTTCACACTTTGCTCTTCCCAGCAGCTGCTGGGGCTGCCCTGGGCATTCTGCTCCTGGGGGCTGCTGTCCCACCCTGGCACAGGCAGGTACAGATTGGGCACGTCCCTGCCGGTGCCACCCGTGCTGAGTGCTCTGCTGGGACATTTCTGTGCCGGCTGATTTACAGCCCAGGAGATTTGCAGTCTGCAATAAAAGCACTCAGTCCTTGGGGAGCAGCCCCAGCCCGGGGCAGCCTCTTGGGCTGGAACTTAGCTGGGTTATAAATCTCATCCCCCCCACCAGAGGGATGAATTCTCAAACACAGCGAAGTGGGGCAAGGAAATTGTGGGTTTTTCTGAACTGTGACAAATCTGACTGCAGCAGAAGGGAGATACCTGCTGAGCAGGGGAGACCTTGGGATTTCCTTGGGGTTTGCCTGGCCTTGGGACACTGGTAGTGTGAAATCTGCTGACTTAAATGGGAGCAGTCCCATCTGCCATCCTGGTTAGAGGCTTTCTGTGCTTCTTTCTCCTGGAAAAGCCCATCCTGCTCCTGTGGGGCCTCCCAGGCCAGAGCTCATTAAAAGGCACCTGGGCAGGCACAGCCACCTGCCTAAACTGCAACCTGCTAGGACACAGCTATTGAGGTTTTATTTCCTTTTATGAAAAATACTGAAGGTTTCCCACAGTAGAAATGGGTCTGAACTTTTTGTTCTTTTTTCACCTTTCTCCAAACAGGACCTTTGAGAGTGCAGAACTTTCTGGTAGGCTGCAGGTAAAGCACCATCCACCAAAGCAGTAACTTAATTTCCTGCCACGGGCTGGATGTTTTCTGTGGGAGAGAACCACCTGACACTGATAAGGTCTGTTTCTACTAAATTTGAGGTCCAGCAGAGAGACTTGAGGAGTACCAGCTGTTCCTCCTACATGTGATCTGTATTTTTCAAACTGTCTAGACACCTGGGTGGGTTGCACACGTTACCAGCAGAGGCAGTTAATCATGTCAAACCTTCTCTTTCCCTACAGGTTTGTTTTGTTTAATCAGCTATATGGAAACCCAGGGGAACCCAGGGATTCAACGGGCAATGAGGAAATTCGATCGCCGGGGCTGACACTTGGCCATTTTTCATCCTGAGCTGGTACAGGGAGTGCAGAGATTTCAGGAGTCGTTGGCTGGTGTTTGGTGGCAGCAGTGACACTGTGAACCTGCCAGCAGAGAGCTGTGGGGTGTTTCACCTGTGCTCCTTGTGAAATGGTGCTAACTGAAAACTGCCTGAAGCTCCGCTGCACAACAGGAAGTTAGATTTGCAGTGGCAGTCAGATTTACAGAACGCCAGAAATGAAATTCACACCAGATTGCACAGGAAAAGCTAAGAATGGCCACTCAGGGTCCTTCTGATGCCTCCCACCTGGGTAAATACTGCTGTTCCCAATGCATGCCCTCACAGATGCCAGCTGCCTGCTGCAAAGTGAACTGCTGTGTGGCAGGATCCTTTTTGTTGGCAAGAAGGTGATCCTTCAGATTCAATCTGACTGCTTTATTTGCACTAAAAACCAGGGGAATGCAAACAGCAGCTCCCCTGAGAAGCCCAGGCACTGCTGGGGAGGGCTGGCAGACCAGGGACCTGGACTGGGGATCCTGGAGGCTCCTTTGCAGCAGGCACTTGTGGCACTCAGCCTTCAGGTCTGTCTTCTCTTGTGCTGGTGTTTGCCAGCTGTGTTTTGAGCCTCACAGTCAGGGCTGAGCATGGCCTTCACTGGGATAAACTTGTTTTCCCCTCTCAGGTTGCCTGGCAGTGGCACTGAGCACAAGAACTTTTGGGTCAGCACAAGGGGTGTATCTTTCTCTTTGCAAACAGCAAAGGCAAATAAAATAATATTGTGGTCAAACGGGCGGGGTGTTTGCAACCTAAACAAGCATGAGAATCCCAAGACAAGTGATTCATTTCCCAGCAAGTTTAACCTGCAGCTTTAAGGCATTAAACACGATGTCCCCAGATGGGTGTTAGTGCTCTCAGGAGGGGATGGAAGAGCAGACCTAACCCTGGGAGAAGCCAGGATGCAAAAGGATTGTTGGTCAGGAAAAGCCTGTGACACGTGAAGCCTTTTCCAGATGCCTTTGGCGAAGGTTCAGGGTCACAGTTGGGAAGGGGAGGGGTTGGCCTTGGGGCTGGGGGAGTGCTCTGAGCTGCTGGGCGAAGCTCTGGGGGTGCAGGGTGGGCTCAGCACCCAGGGGTGTCCTGGGGGTGCAGGGTGGGCAGAAGCACCCAGGGCTCAGCACCCAGGGGTGTCCTGTGAGTGCAGGGGGGGCACAGCCAGGGCTCAGCACCCAGGGGTGTCCTGGGGGTGCAGGGTGAGCTCAGCACCAGGGATCTCCTGTTGGTGCAGGGTGGGCAGAAGCACCCAGGGGTGTCCTGTGGGTGCAGGATGGGCTCAGCCAGGGCTCAGCACCCAGAGGTGTCCTGGGGGTGCAGAGTGGGCTCAGCACCCAGGGCTCAGCACCCAGGGTTCTCCTGTGGGTGTAGGGTGGGCAGAAGCACCCAGAGGTGTCCTGTGGGTGCAGAATGAGCACAGCCAGGGCTCAGCACCCAGGGGTGTCCCATGGGTGCAGGATGGGCACAGCCAGTGCACAGCACCCAGGGGTGTCCCATGGGCTCAGCACCCAGAGGTGTCCCGTGGGCGCTCTCCCAGAGGCTCAGCACCCAGGGGTGTCCGGTGGGTGCAGGATGGGCACAGCCAGTGCACAGCACCCAGGGGTGTCCCATGGGCTCAGCACCCAGAGGTGTCCCGTGGGCGCTCTCCCAGAGGCTCCCAAGGCTGCTGGAAGCTGGGTGAGGCAGGCAGCACCCTG